ATAGTCACTGTAGTACCACGGCTCACGAAACATTAAAACCTACGGTGCGATGTACTATAATTATAAATTTTAAAAGTAAAAACCGACTTAAAATTACTAAAAGAGAAGTTATTTATTTGCTACTTAAGGGTGGAATTTTTTCTGCAAATTTATATGGGACCACCCTTGAAGTATAACCTGTTTAGTAAAAAAGTATCATTAAAATTGGTTCACAATCTGCGACGATATTGCATAACATACATACAAAAAACCTTTGAGTTGAGAACCTCCTCCTTTTTAAGTCGGTTAACAAAGTGCTATAATTTTGATGTGAACTAAACTATCGAATAGGGCTGTAGTTCCTATATCTGTAAATTTTACCTTATTAAAATGTTTTTGGCAGCTTTTTTAAATGTCTTGATACAGAATCCTTTCCTTTCTGATTATATATTCCATTTTATTTCAATTTTAGGATTAGAATTAAAAAAGTTTTACTGTACATAATTCAATACAACCAACAAATGTTAAATTTGTACTGTTCGATTTGTACAGAATTAAATTATTCTAATGAATGATACTTTACGCCAACATATACCCAATTAATTTTTAAATTAGTTACGTTTAAAGTTACTAGATGTCGCTGATTGTGTGCGACGTTAACTTATTGAGACGAAGTTCTTTGTTCAAATCTAGTGAGACACAAATTATAAGCCTATCAAGTTAATATTTAATAGACGATTCTCTTTATAACGTTGTAGTTTTATTTGTTTGTCGTAGCATAAGCATTTTGTAATATATAAGTGTTGCAATGGAAAGAAAGAGATATATTTGGAACATACAAAAACGGGCTGATTTATATATAAAAATAAACGCAATAAATAACTACACATAAAACAATCAATGGAACAAACCTTTCTTTTATTACCTTATTATTATATTAATCAAATAAAAAAAGTATTGGTAGGTGTGAAGGTTCCCTTACTTTTTATATTTTTCAACTAGCTCGAAAAGCACTGGTACGAAATGACCACTGTATGAACATGGACATCTCTAGTTACTTTGAAACAATAGATGCAAGGTCACTCCTGAGAGCTAAAATGGAATACCTTCAAAAACCAGTGTGATGACCAGATAGCCTTTGCAATTTACAATATTTAGATCGGAGACGTGGTGTTTTACTGCTAGCCGTATGAGGAAGATCAAGTTCGCTCAGCGAGCTATGAAGAGGGCTATACTCGGAGTTTCCCTGCGTGATAGACTTAGTAATAAGGATATCCACAGTAAACCAGAGTCGCTTACTCTTATATATACATAGTATAGCCCAACAGATCAGTAAGTTGAAGTGGCACAGCACCGACAACCGATGGGGAAGAAAAGTTCTCGAGTGGCAGCTTCCTACGGGTAAGCGAAGAGTATGCCCCAATTGCATACCATAGAGTGGATTTTTTTTAGTCAATATGGATTGCGAGAATATTTATTGAAATTTATTTATGCTTTTATCACTGGTCTAGAAAAAACCTCTGTCCTGGGAAGAACCAGCAAGAAACCCAGCAGATTTTCTACACTGTTTTACTAACTTTCTGGAACGTTCGCATGTAAACAACCAAAAAATGTCACCGTTGTAAAAATACATGCGTACATATATAGCATCACGCTTATACTGCCGTGCTTACGATAATGGCAGTTATTTCGAGAAAATGGCGCGCAGTTTTCGTTCTTTTTTTACCTTTCCTGTTTTCTGTTAAGGAGTTTTCTAAGGTAAGATAATTGAAATGTGTAGCGTAAGTGATGTATTTTTATTTAGTGTACCAATTAAAGATGTCGTTGAATTATATTAGTTTTAAATAACAAAAAACCGTTTATGCTAAGTATAAGTTGATAACCTTAAAACAATAATTACTTAGAATTACCGGAGTAAGTACGTAGTCACTGCTCTTATGGTAAGTGATTCATATAATTCATAGGTCCGCTTAGAGAAAAACAACAATAAATACAGTAAAAAATCTTTTATTTATTAACTTTCCTCTTTAATTAATACTTGTACAAATCTTTTTAAACTAACTTATCTTTAATATGGCAAGGATTTGAGATCCATCGTACAAAAGTTACTTACGTACTAGTTTAACAAATCATAATTCAACATATTTATTTTTCATTAAATCAAAATAAAAATGTAAACATTTAAAATATATTTCAGTCTTGTAAACTTTATCGGAATCAATATTTACATCTGAAACAGGTAAGTTTAGCCAAAACTCTTTTCTGTTATCCGGCATTAGCTGCAAAAGGTTCTTTATTATGCCATTTTTAGTAGATTCCGATATGCCCCAAGGGGATGTTTTTTGAATAAATTCAGGGAATTTTCTTTGATTTTATATATTTTATTTGAAGAAAGTCTAAATTAAAGGTAATCGTTATATCGCTGGGCAAATACAATCTGTGCGGGGCATGTTCACGTCTATAATGAGAATTTACTGGGACATATGTATTAATATGTGTTTTTATTACATCTCTGTCAGTTAGGTCTTCTTTTGTAATGTCCTGTCTGATTGTTTTGTTTCTCTAATGGTCTTTGTAAAGCTAATATAACTCTCTTGTCATTTTTTGGATTGTATCCTAGTTGTTAAAAAGAAGGTTTTACACTTCAATCTTAGTTTCATCCTTATAAAAATAATAAGCATAGCTTACATAGCGTTTTGGCGTTTCGCGATTTGTGTTTTTCCTGCATGCAACTGGTTTAATTTGGACTAGAGTTTTAATAAAGATACTCTTTAATTGCCAGCTTAAGGAAACGTATTCAAAATTAGTTTCTCTTCTAAGTTCATCACAAAATTTTTTAGTACATTTTTCTTGCATGTTTCTGGCATGGGTCATTTACAGTTACTTTTTCCATTTCTAATTTAGTCTTTTTCTCTCTTCTTTTTGCTAATGGTTCTTCAAATTTCCTTCTTTTCTTTGGGTTTCCCTTTTGTTTTTCCTTTGTCTTCCTGTACTCTCTGAACCATTTTTGTGACTGTTCGTTTTCTTTTTGTATCTTGTGGGACAAAGAAGGAACATGATTTTTGCAGTCCATATAAATGTCTTCGCCTATAAAATGTGAATAACAGAGTAAACATAGCCATTTCCCGCAGGTACTAAATATCTCTTCAACACACCCAACATATTCACATTGTGATGCCAAGTCTTGCTCAATCTTTATTTGATTTAATATGTTGAGGAGTGGTGAAAGTTGTTTCGTGGAGTTTTTTTAGACTAAAAATTCTCAAAGTTTTGTAGCCGTCACTGGGGTGGCTCTTTAACTGTATTATTTGGTAAATTTATCAAATTTAAATTGTTTTCTATCTTGGCAATGACAGGATAAATTCATTTCTTTTAAATAAAGATTTTCTGTTGAATATGGATAATGTTTTTCACACTTCTGATATTGATATTCAAAATGGACTAAACACAAAAGACAAAAACATTGTGTACAGGCGCTAAACTCTTTTAAATTACAACCTTCAAATTCACAATGTTTGATAGAATTGGATTTTTTTGGCAAATGATTCACATTATTAGTAATAGATATTGTTTCATCACATTTTGTACTATTTATATCTTCTTCTGGCACGTAATCTGTATCTTTACTATCATCAGATTGTGCTTAAAAGGGTCTTCTTGAATGTCAATTTGACTATCATCGGGTATAAATAAAAAATAAGGAGGAAATTCTTCATTACAGTATAAAATATCTGCATCATAAGAAGTATAATTAACCTCGGTATTATCAAATCCTACATTTGCCGTCCTGGTGGCTTACGATTTTGCGTTTGGTCAAATTTATGCATAGGCTCGTTATTTGGTTAATTTTGTGGTTGCGTTTCTTCAAGCCAGGTTTCTATGTTTTGAAAGTTATACATAGGTGTCAATTTATAGTTGTTGGAATACTCATTACGATAGTCAAAAATTTCTTTGTGTTCATTGAAATCGTACCAGCGGAAAAAATTGTCAAAAGTATCACAGGCTTAACCCTATTCGTGTACATGTATATTACTCATTTCAGTGTCGCTTTTTCGTTTCATTGAGTTTCAAATCACAACAATTCTAAATAAGTTTTCACTTCAAAAAACGTGGCGTTTAACTCAAACATTACGTTCGAAATCATGAGTAACTGTCCCTATTGCATTACAAAACGTGCAATATTACTTTTGTTATGATGGTTGTAAAGGATTGTACACTCAAAATAAATACCATTGCTTATTATATCTGGAGTATGTGTACTTACTGTTTAAATTATAGTAAATTAATGTATTCAAAACAAATACCTTTGCTTATTACATACGTAGTAAGTGTACTTACTGCTGAGATTATAAGTAATAAATGTACTCGAAACAAATACCTTTACTTATTGTAACCACAGTGTGTATACTCATTGCGGTAATCATTAGCAATGTCGGAACGCTATTGTAGGCGCCACACTAGCTAACCACTAGTAAGTATACATACTGCTTTATTAATAAGTAAGCTTTGTAACAATTTAGATCATACTGCTCTTATCATTACTGAATTTATAAGTTCCTGCTGAGATATTAAAATGAGTGTCAGACTATATTATAAAGTTCATTACGCTGATTCCGTATCTGTATATAACTCAGTTTGTCCAAAAATCGTACTTACTGCCATTATCGCAAGCACGGCAGTATAATCCCCGAGGGGTAGACAGAGTACAAAAAGCAGCGAGCTACTCGAACCACGTTTAGCCAACAAAATATGGGTATAAATAGAATATTGTGAAAGATGTGACAGGTGGCTAGTCCATTGCCTATACAATCACGAACACTATATCCCAATCGCCTTATACTTAGGCAAGTAACACAGTTGGCACATTCTTTGTTAAACGTCCCATATAACTATAGAACCTAGGAGTTCCAAACCAGCATGAGACACACGTTAAACACTAAGTAGAAAAGGGAACTAATTAATAAAAACACAATGTTTAAAGCTTTAAACTATAATTGATTATTCCTAATGTTAACACTTATTCAAAATCCGGGGTCCCATCCAGTCTGGTCGCTTGCGTCCACCAGTTTGTAACAAATTACAGTATCGCCGGGTTGCACTTCGAATGCGGGGTCGTCAAAACGAAGTCCGCACTCCATGTCGCGCTTGATTGTGTTCACTTCCTCTTTCAGATGCTTCATGGAGGCCAGCTTACCTAAAAGTATTAAGAGCACTACGTCACTCTTTGGGCCTTACTTGATGGCGACAAGACCAGACGGAATCTTAGGCAGAGCCGTAATTGAGGAATAGTCGTATAGTGGCAGACATGGGTAATGCGTTGTGAAGGGTAAATGTGCTAACTCAATCCACTGCACCGATGTTATACGTGGTAGATCCATGCTGCAGCTATATTAGTAGTGTACTTGTAGCACGAAAGGGTCGGTTCGACCGGGGAAGGACCACGCCCTCACAAGAAAATCAGCGTCAAATAGCAGCTTAATGCTACCGTGTTTCGTATGGTGAGTGTAAAGAACCGGAGATCGTTTTTACTGGAAACGAAGCATTCCATCTTAGTCCTCACGGGTGTCAACGCAACTGAATTTTGATTCGTAATTGAGGATAGATGTAGATGTCTATGGACCACAGCAACCACTTACCATCAGGTGGACTGTGTGCTGGTTTGTTACCCTTATACTATGAAAAAATGTGTTGACTCCTTCTTTCAATTTGTTGGCGCACAGCGCACGACTGGAAAATTCGAAGGGAGTTAGGATGTCGTTATTGTATATTTGATTGATCTATTAATTAATGGACCTGACAAGTTTATTTTATTATTTTAAATGAAATCTAACCAAAAGGTTACACACAATATTACAATAAAAACTATAATAAAGAAAATAGTTTTATATCATTTTATAAACTGCAAAGTAATCTTTTTCAAATTTTTATTTTACTTACTGGCCACACTGTTTTTATTTTGACAGATGGCTAAATTGACAGCCGTGTTTAAAAATTGGTTGCAATGAGCCGGCGCAGTAAACTGTACCCAGTTACTCATGTCTAAGTGGCAGTTCAAAAGAATCCATCGCTCCATTTCGTCCCGTATTTATCATAAGAGGCGACTATGAAATGTACCAGAGAGGCCTCATAACTTTCGATAGATGCGGTAACCGTCTCGTTTACGTGAAATATAAAATACCAGAGCGGCGTATTATAATCATCAAACCGCCTTAAAAGAGAGATAATGAGGTAATAAATCCTCCCTGCAGCGGGAGAGGCCTAGCAGACTACTTTGGGCTAGTGAAGAAAACTGAGGTCCTTTTATTCTATACAACACGTAACATAATTAACGCACGTCCTGAAAGTAATTTGTTCAGAATCGTTTACTGAATCGATTTCTATCATTTTTAATATACGTAACTTTGCTATCCCAAAAATTATTAAAACTGCGTAAATTACAGTCACATTAAACCTGTACAGTCAAAACAAACTGAAATGGACCGTAACTCAAGGCGATAAGATTTTTAAAAGTGCAGTTTTATTTGTATTAATACAAATTCCGTCATACAATACAAAATAAAGAAAACTGAACCTTATTTCAAACACGTTAAAGTCTTTACAAATACAGAGTTTGGAGTGCCTTGGATCGGTCGCGGTGGCTCTGTACATTGACCTCCCAGATCAGCTGATTTGACGCCTCTTGACTTTTTTTCTTTTGTAAGGACGTATTAAATCATTAGTTTATTTTAGTGAGACAACAAGTGCCGAGGACCTAAAAATAGGATAGTGAACGCTTTTATAATAGTGAAAAATTACACAGAATTGCTTTCTAAATCAAAATATCAATTAAGAAAACGGTCATTAAAATGTAATGAACGAGGTGGTGGAAATTTTGAAAGTGTATTCAAATACAACGTTGCATGAGACTTTAGGCTATCAGTAAGTTAAATGTTTGATTCTTAAAATTATTGTAATCTTGATTCACATCTTTTGAACACGCCGTCTTTGAATTATGTTGTCGTATCGCCTCTTATTTTTAGCAGTTCATTATTATTTACAATTACAATTAAAATGTTATGTAAATTTATATTTTATTTATTGTAACGAATATTGCCTATTGACATTGTATCATAATAAATAAACAAAATTATTGAGTCGAAAGTCCAAAGCCTGAAAAGTGTGATGGAAAGATGTAATCAAATGTTTACTAGACTTAAATAAACAACTCGATGCTCGGAGTTCTGACATCTGTTAATGTTCATAGATAGGTATTTCTTTAACGTAACCAATCGTGTGTCTCTCAAGCGGCGGCGGCGTTAACTCGTCCCGAACGCGAGCGAATACCTACTAGGCTAACAAGACCCTCATATGACCTTTATCTAGTGTTCGTGGATTTGTACTGTGACCACAACATTCTTCCGGAATTAGCATAACTAATTTAATAAATAATCAATACATAAACATGTTTAACCGAGAAGTCAGTGTATGTATTATGGTTATAACATAATATACTAATTGGGGTGTCTGAGAATGTGCGTTAATTACGTTAGATGTTGTATAAAACTAGCGATCAGCTCCGGCTTCGTACGGTTGATTTCTGGATGGCAATAACACTGCCACCTAGCGGTCCTATCAGCTCAAACACACATCATAATCAGCCGTTTAGGAGTTCAGTCATATACACAAAGTATAATATATATATATATATATATATATATATATATATATATATATATATATACATATATATAATGGTACAGAGTAGTTAGCGACAAATCCTTACCTTGGAACTCGACGTCTGCGTCACGAAGCAAGGTACAGAGCCGCGACGTACCTTGGAACTCGACGTCTGTTTCACGAAGCACGGTACAGAGCCGCGACGTAAATTGAAACTCGATGTCTGTTTCACGAAGCACGGTACAGAGCCGCGACGTACCTTGGAACTCGACGTCTGTTTCACGAAGCGCGGTACAGAGCCGCGACGTACCTTGAAACTCTACGTCTGTTTCACGATGCACGGTACAGAGCCGCGACGTACCTTGGAACTCGACGTCTGTTTCACGAAGCACGGTACAGAGCCGCGACGTAAATTGAAACTCGATGTCTGTTTCACGAAGCACGGTACAGAGCCGCGACGTAAATTGAAACTCGATGTCTGTTTCACGAAGCACGGTACAGAGCCGCGACGTACCTTGGAACTCGACGTCTGTTTCACGAAGCGCGGTACAGAGCCGCGACGTACCTTGAAACTCTACGTCTGTTTCACGATGCACGGTACAGAGCCGCGACGTACCTTGGAACTCGACGTCTGTTTCACGAAGCACGGTACAGAGCCGCGACGTAAATTGAAACTCGATGTCTGTTTCACGAAGCACGGTACAGAGCCGCGACGTAAATTGAAACTCGATGTCTGTTTCACGAAGCACGGTACAGAGCCGCGACGTACCTTGAAACTCTACGTCTGTTTCACGATGCACGGTACAGAGCCGCGACGTACCTTGGAACTCGACGTCTGTTTCACGAAGCACGGTACAAAGCCGCGACGTACCTTGAAACTCTACGTCTGTTTTACGATGCACGGTACAGAGCCGCGACGTACCTTGGAACTCGACGTCTGTTTCATGAAGCACGGTACAGGGCCGCAACGTAAATTGGAACTCGACGTCTGTTTCATGAAGCACGGTACAGGGCCGCAACGTAAATTGGAACTTGACGTCTGTTTCACGAAGCACGGTACAGAGCCGCGACGTACCTTGGAACTCGAGGTCTGTTTCACGAAGCACGGTACAGAGCCGCGACGTACCTTGAAACTCGACGTCTGTTTCACGAAGCACGGTACAGAGCCGCGACGTACCTTGAAACTCGACGTCTGTTTCACGAAGCACGGTACAGAGCCGCGACGTACCCTGGAGCTCGATGTCTGTTTCACGAAGCATGGTTCAGAGCTTTTCTCTACCGTGCTTCGTGAAACAGACATTGGAACTCGACGTCTGTTTCACGAAGCACGGTACAGAGCCGCGACGTACCCTGGAGCTCGATGTCTGTTTCACGAAGCATGGTTCAGAGCTTTTCTGTACCGTGCTTCGTGAAACAGACATTGGAACTCGACGTCTGTTTCACGAAGCACGGTACAGAGTCGCGACGTACCTTGGAACACGACGTCGGCGCCGCGAAGCACTCTGTACAGAGCAGCTCGCGACAGAGAGCCGCGTACACAACGGCAGCCCGCTACTGGCACTTTCTTTCGTCCCTCAGTCACTTGGAACTGCTGAAGAACGTTAGCCTCGCCTGAAATTCAATATGTATGCCTGATATATGTATTTCACATAACATTACAAATTATAAACACATCGTCGAACCATAGGAGTCTCGGTGAACAGCGGAATTGTAATTACATTAAGAGACACCGCATACTGCAGGCTTTCTATCGGGCGAGAGTTTAGTCGGTTTCTTAATCAGTATTAAGATGTATTCAAGTGCACATACTATAACGATTAGATATCGGCTGATAAATCAGTTTGATGGGCTACACGATTTCCTTCAAACTAAACTGTTGGTTAACTCTCGGCCAACTGCTAAATCAGTACAGCGCTCTTCAACGCGCGCATACACGCCGATCGTTTAGTCGGCCGACTCGGTCGATAACAGCTCAGAATTTTGGCGCGATAAAGCCCCTGAAGAACCTGAGAGAACGCCCCTGCATCAAAATGGCGCTGCTTGTCGAATCATCTATTTAACAGTTAGTAGTTGAAAAACGACCTGCGCTTTATAAGAAATAGCTAAAAGAGTACGCTGATGTTAAATTAAAGAAAAAGCTGGGGGAAGAAGTAATCTATCACGGGATGCACCCGGTATTCTACGTTTCTTTTCTTGATCCGTCTCCTTCGTTGCATAATAGCAATAATAACAAAGAGATTTAAATATATAGGTATACTATAGAGCGGACATTATTATTAATAATAATAATAAGCCTTTTATTTCATGCTAAAAATGAGATACATACATAGTTTATAGTTTAACGAAAAAAGCAAAAAGAAAAAAAAATTTAAATCTGGATAATAATATATAAGTTTGTTTGCATGAACCCCTCCTCAAATGAAGGTGAAGGCCTCCTCTAAAGAATTCCATGTGTCTCTATCTTGAGCTATTTGCGGCCAGCAGGTAGCAGCTGTTTTTATCAAATCGTCTGCCCATCTTGTGTGGGGTCTGCCTTTGAGACGTTTGCCGATTAGACCCTTCCACGTTGTTACCCTGGTGGTCCATCTCTCGTCCTTTAGTCTCGCTACGTATCCAGCCCACTTCCATTTTAGTCTTTTAGCGTAGGTTAGAGCATCCGTCGCTTTGGTGGTTTCTCTAATTATTGTGTGACGAATTTTTTGAATCTTTTTAATGTTGACCATACTTCGTTCTATTCCGCGTTGGCAGGTCGTGATTTTGCTTTTTAATTTGGATGTAAATTTCCAAGCTTGAGATGCGTAGGTTAGACAAGGTAGGAGGCATGACATTATGACTTTTATTTTGATATGTGTTGGCATGTTACTTTTGAATATCTCTTTTAAGGACCAGTACTTGTTCCAAGTATTTTGAACTCTTCGTTCTACTTCTAGTTCATTATGTTTTCTGTTGAAGCCAATTTGTTTTCCAAGGTATATGTATTTCTCTGTATTTTTCAAAGTTTCATTGTCCACTGATATTCTTCTCTGTATACTATTTGTCATGACCATTGTTTTCGAAAGATTAATTTCTAGTCCTACCTGCTTCCTAACTGTGTTTAGTGAATCGATCATGTTTTGTAATTGTGTGCTAGATTCTGACAGCAAAACTAAGTCATCTGCGAAGCGTAGGTGGGATAAATAATTGCCATTGATGTTTAATCCTGTCTTTTCCCAATTGAATTTTTTTATTATTGACTCTAGGATAATTTTGGAGACAGCGGGTCGCCTTGTTTTACGCCTCTTCCGATGGAGAACGTAGGACCAGTGGATTCTAGTTTTATTTTTTTAAATATTTTTGATTATATCTATATATTCTTGTTCAACTTTTTGAGATTGCAGGGCGGTCCATATGCTTGAATGTGACAAGGTATCAAAAGCTTTTTTGTAATCGATATATGCGATGTAGAGCGTTCTTTGCTGTTCTTGGTATTTTTCCATTATTTGTTCTAGAGTATGTATATGATCGATCGTTGAAAAGCCTTTGCGAAAGCCTGCTTGTTCTATTGGTTGGTTTGCTTCTATTGTGACACTTATTCTTTTGTTAATTATGGAGGAAAACAGTTTGTAGATACATGAGAGTAAGCTTATAGGCATGTAATTTGTGATATCTTCTGAGTCACCTTTTTTATAAATTAAAATTATTTCTGACTCTACCCACTGCGATGGTATTTCAGCAGTTTTTAATATAAGATTAAATAAATGTGTTAATGGGAGAGTCATTAGCGGCCAAGCAACCTTTATAGCTTCATTTGTAATGCCGTCTGGACCTGGGCTCTTATCTATCTTTAGCCTTTTTATTTCTTGTGTGACTTCTTTTTCAGTTATTGGTGTTATGTTTCCGCTTTTGTTTGTAGAGTTAACATTGTTTGTGTTTCTATGGCTGGTACACTCGTTTTCTTGTGCTTTATATAATGTTTTATAAAAATGGGTTGCTATATCTATGATTTCTTTTCGATTATTTGCGGTTTTGTCCTTACGGTTTAAACTATATATCCAATATTTATTTGTTCTTAGTTCTTAAATGCCTTTTTTGAGCTTCCTGCTTTTTCCAGATGTTTTTCGATAGTCCTCAATCTGTAGCTTTTGTAGTCATGTTTAATGTATTTACTTATTAATTTGTATAGAGCTGATAATTCATTTTTAGTGGCTCGAGTTTTTATCTTAGCATGTTGTTACTCTTGTCTTCTCTTGATAAGTTCCAGTGTGCGCTCTTTTAGAACTTTATGATTACCTTTTGATATTTCGTTGGGGGTTCGAGGGTTCTGTAAGCTCTGGGTTATGGCCTTGCTTAATGTGTTATAGAAAGCCTGTACTGATGTTTTTTCTTGGCATTTATGTGAATCTTGTAACTGAGATGAGATGTTCTGTTTATAAAATAATATTTCTTGATCGGTTTTCAGTGATGAATAGTGGTTGCTTTTATACTCTGTGCGTTATTTCTTCTGATTTGTGATAGACATTGTTGCTCTGATTGCTCTATGGTCTGACGGGTAGTTCAAATTTAAAACTTCTATGTTTAGATGTTTGGTTGATTTGACAGTACATAATCTATTTCATTTTTGTATTTATTGTTCGGTGGTCGCCAGGTCCATCTTTGGTTTGGTTTTTTATGAAAGAAAGTATTTAAGATGGCCAGTTTGTGTTCGAGGGCGAAATCAATTAGCCTCTGACCTCTCTGGTTTCTTTCACATACCCGTGCGGTACCATAGAGCGGACATTAAGAACATTTATATACAAAAACTTTGAGCTAGTGCGCGTGTGGCACCTTCTAGCTAAAAATAGCAAAACAACGCTAAGCATTTATTAAGACGTGGTTTTAGGAATGTTACCGTTTCGATATCAAAGTATCGATAATGTTGTTGAAGATTACTAAGTTTGAAATGCTTTTCGTTATAATAATAGGGAATATACATGATTGTTTTATTGTATAAATCTATTTATCATGACTTCCATCACACGGAAAAAATCATATTAACTATTTACGTCCCTTTAGTGTCATGAAATAAAATATTTAATTTCCAATAACTAAAAATCAATTTAAACAGCAGTCTTTTGGTTGCCACCTTGGTGGCATCTCGGATGACGTCACTCGGTCCATTAGCTGCTATAATAATAGCATATAATTGATCGGTCGGCGTTAAAGACACATCGAGAAACGCCAAATCCAATAAGAGAGCGCCTCTATGTTTTTAAATTCGTTTCTATTACAAAAATACACTTCAAATTTAAAATATTTTAGGAAAACACCGTTTAAAAGCCGTTTCACAATTTTTCACGTTTCACCAGCTGCAGTACTTAAAGACACTACCCACGTCAATAAAAATTGTTATTTTAAGTTTTTACCTTATTTTCTAACTCAGGCTTAACTCTACAACTTCTTGCATCTAATATCTTTAACAGTACAAATTGTTTTTAATGTAAGAAATCTATAGCCCTCTCCTATCACTGTAAGCTAGGATCTATAATGGCTTTGTCCTTGAAAACCACCATACAATGAAGCCCGGTGTAAAACCACCAGAAAATGAAGCCTGGTATGTAAAATAGAAGACTTGCTGTATTGCTAAACATCAAAACAGCAAGTATCCTCAGCATGCTCATAAAATCTCAACAGCATGCCTAAAAAAAATTCCCACCCTTTCTCCACATAAAGTAAGCTACTTAGCATAGTTGGTATATGCTACTCATTTTTGTTGGTATTGGTACAGTATCGTTGACTGTTTTATTCAGTAAATATATGTTATATTTACGATAATAAACCGAAATCACGTTCATTTTTTGCTCCATATCGTGACTTACAATATCTTAATGCACAACCGGGCATATTTTCTTTAAAAATATTTTTTAAATTTATGAAACGAATGCGTCTTGACTTTTTGACGATGTCACTAAGACTAAATGACAAAAATCGGTGATATATCCTATAGGACATAAGTTACAGGTTCGCGCCCAAATGCTGGTTTCAAGATTTTGCCACGTGAAACGGAAGTGAGCTTTGATCCGCCCATTCGGTATTCGTGCCGTGTGTTATGTATTTGATTATAAGTAACGGGATTTAGTTGCGTTTTGAAATTAGTTAAATGTACAATAAAGTTGATAGACTGAATTAGTGAATTGAGGACAGAAGTTGTTAATTGGTGATCGCCCACTTTTGAGAGATCTCACCTTTGGAGTAGTGGCAGCGCCGGTGGATCTGCGGTCAGACTTCAAAGGCTAATTCAGGTTAAACACACATACACTTCTCATGCACTACTTACATTCACCACACCTGACGTCTGAACGAGCCTTGGGGTCCTTCTTCGCTTCTGAAGCAGGTAAGTCAAGTAAATTAAGTACCTAATCTATATATCTTAAATATCCATAGGCATTTGGGCCCCGTCCTTAGTTATCCGTCGAGTAGGCCCCTGCATAGTCTACCTTTGTCGGGACAGCTAGGAGCGTGTACATTTCTGGTAGCAAGAGCGCGGTTGATTGATTTCCAATCACGCTCGGCCGTAATATTAATAAAAATAGTACGTAATAAAAATTACATATAAATATTTATACATATAATAATTTTTTGTTTGTTGGCGGGTAGAAGAAGCAACCACGCCCGTAGTGTTGTTAGGGCTAGGTACTTACGCGTAAGGTACTTTGACTAGGTAGATAAGGTTATCACGTAATCGGATAAATATCGTTGGCGTATAATTATAGTAGATTAATTGTCGAAGGGTCGGTTGTTTGAGCGAGGCATTTTGCTGATTGACTGTGGTGTGTACCGTTAATTGTAGTGTAATTTGTATTTAATTTAATAAATAGTAATTATATTTGTGTAATTTGTATTTAACTTGATTTGATCGTACTTGTATTTGTTATTTGTTAATTTGATTTATATTTGAGCCGCGTATTAATTTGTATTTAGTAGTGATGCCATCGCACAAGCTACTGATTCGTCGCCTGAGGGTGGAGCTGCGCTGGGCTACCAGCGCCCATGCTTTGATAGGTCGACCGGATAGGGTCTATAACTTGAGTAAGCGGCTCGAGCAGGTCGATGCTCGAAGGGCCGCAGTGGAGGAGACTTACGGATGTGGAAAAGGGAGTCCTGGACTCCTGCCTCGCGGACTACGAGCAGTTCTTTTAGCTCACGGACGAGTTGTTCGAGGTTGGGGCCAGGTATGCTGAGAAGGCGCGTGAAGCTCGGATGAGTGGCCTGCCCGAGTCCTTTCGGAAGCAGCCTCAGCCGGAGCTGTTGGGACGACTCCCAACTCTGGACCTGCCAAGGTTCTCCGGGGTCCTTTCCGAATGGCTAACCTTCGTTGGTTTTTTTTGACAGCCTAGTGGACGCCCGGAGGGACTTGACCCCGAGCCAGAAGATGGCGTACCTCCTGACCTCACTGGACGACGCCTACCAGACTGCTCGGGACCTCCTAGCCGGAAGATACGCCAACGTTCGGCGAATTGCGGACGAATATGTTAAGCAGCTTCTAAGCTGCTTAACATATTCGTATGTTTTATTTAAAATGTTTGTTTCTCAATCTTGGCATGCCGTGATAACACGTATAAGGATTATGTCTTGTATTACACTATTATTGTAAGTTATAGCTTTAAGTAATGATGTAATCTATTGTGTTGTCCAATAAATAAATAAATAAATAAATAAATAAATAAATAAATAAATAAGCCTCCCGCTGCTTAGTGACCGGACCAGACTACGTCCGGAACTGGTGAATCAAGTCTTGGTGGCCTGTAATGTGTTGAGGCGGCTGGATTTACCAGTGGACGAATAGTCCTTTTTGTTGCTCTACATCGTGCTGTCCCGTCTACCTCTCGACCTTCGGATACATTTTGAGGAGAGGTATAGCGGGGACGGAGCCTCCTATATTCCGCCCTTCAATGATCTGCTGCGGTTCTTAGAGGAGCAGTGCCGGCGGATTGAGAACGCGACGGGCACCGTTGACGACTTGCGGGCCATGCCTAGTGAGAGGCGGGATCCACCGGGCAAGTCGTCGTCAACCCCCCCCCCCCCCCCCAGGCCTATCGGAGCTTCCGTGGGAGGGCGCCGCTCCCTACCACCTTACAGTGGCCTAGTGACCAGGGAGGCGCCCCCCTGTTCCTATTGCCGAGCCTCCGATCACCGGATGACGTCGTGCCCGAAGTTATTAGGTAAGCCGGTTCCGGCTAAGCGAACTATCGCCAAGGAGTGCCGCTGGTGCTACTCTTGTTTGGAAGGGCACCTCCAGCGAGACTGCCCGCACCAGCGGCCCAGTCCGCATTGCCAGGGCAAGCACCATACCGTTTTGTGCCTGGGTGCGAACGGCGCTTCCTCTCCGGACTCTGCCGGGCCCTCGACTCCCACGGGCGGGGGCGCTCAGCCACGCCCTTTCTCGGGTGACGCTCGGCGCTCGCCTGCCAGCCACCGAGCCCCTAGGTTTGAAAGGGGTCCCTCCCCCGACCAGTCGGGAGGTCGTTCCCCCAGGGGCGGGGGTGTCGTCGCCCACCCTCAGCGTGTGGAGAGGAACTTCACGGCCACTCAGCAGTCCGCTAGACCCTTCTCATCCCCGTTAGCCGAGTGGCCGCGACTGGTGTACCACCGTTCCCCATTTGATAGAGGCAGCCCTAGCTAGCTGCCACCCTAGCTCCCACCACGGCCGCCTCCACTGAGCCTATGAGCCGTCAACAGTCCACTTGTCAAACTGTTCTATTGCCGACGGTCTCAGTGAAGGCGTACAACCCGAGTAGCGACTGCTAGCGGTTGGCGCTCTATTGGATTCGGGTTCACGCGGTGTGGCTTCCACTTGGTTGGTGGGAAGATTAGGGCTCCCCTGGAGCGTTAAATCACGCTGTCAAGGAGTATTAAATTTGGTTTTGGTCTAGCACTTAAATAAAAATTCTTTAGATTAAAAATAAAAATGCTTTGGGTTTTCCGCGAAATGTTTTCATACTTGTGGCGGTTGTGATTAAGAAGGCGAATTTAATGTGCTCTTTGAATATTTGTACATATGTTTTGTAATGTATTTGATCATTGTGTTTGCTTTGTGGAAAAGAAAATTGAAATTGAGTAACACTATTTGTGCCGATGGAAATAAAAATCAATCCTTACTTTGTTTTCACAATTTTGTTGGCATTGTCGGAGATATTTATTTTTATTATTATATATTTTTTTGGCTATCTCTTATGTTTATCGTTTTGTTTAATTAGTCTGTTTGATCTATGCGCATAGGTAAATTAAATTGTTTGAATTAATTCAGTAGTTGTACATTGATGCTTTGAAATTTGGTTGAAATATGAGCATAGGACTACATGTCTAAAAAGGCTAGCTAGTTAGGAGATTATCAGATTGAAATCAGCTACTGCACAGTTGGGTGAATGGTTATATAAAAGATGGCTTGATTGTCTACTTGCGTGAAAAATTATACTAAGGACTATCTGTGCGTTTCGTTTGCCTCTCCACAGACGCCGTTCACGTGGAACTTGTGGGTGCTCTCTACACTGAAGCTTAGGTGGCCACGCTGGGCCGCTTCGTGTCGCGTCGCTGTTTGCAGACCTTATCCGGTCGGATTGCGGAACGAATCATAGGGGCACAGATGACAGTGTTTGAAAGAGGTCATCGGACTTCTGTCCAGTAACAGGACTGATTTAGGTGCTGCGATGTCCAAGAAGGGGATCCAGTGGAGGTTTAACCCTCCGGCTTGCCCACATTGGGGCTGTATTTTTCAGGCGGTGGTTAAGGTTGCAAGATCTGATGGGGTGCCTAAGGTGGCCTAGGTTTTGGTTGTAGATTCAGTCTTGCAACGTGCCGTCGCGACCCTGCCCCGCTTGCCGGTTTTCTTGCGGACATAAGTCCTTATGTCTGGGAAGGGGGTTTGTTCGCGCCCAAACGCTGGTTTCAAGATTTGACGCCAGAGGGCGCTCGGCTCAATACGGCGCGTTCATAACCGGTTAGACGTGTGGGCGGTTAACGGGAGTTTTGTTGCCAGCGGGCCGCGTCCGAGGATAGCAGGCAGTTGGTTGCTATCGGCGGCTGGGTCGAGTCGAGCAGTAACTTGAATGCCGCGGCGCCGTCGCCACGTAACGTATTTGTGGTGCTCGCGGCAGCGATTTCGTGTGACCAGTTTTGGCTTTTGGGTCTAGATTTTTGATATTTGTATTTGTGCGCGTTACTTCGCTACTTAATTTGTGATTTCGTGAAAACCGCTTCGGTTTAGTTGTCTAAGCTATAAGTTCGTGAAGAAGCAGTGATAATTTGATTGATTGATCTAAAATCGTTGGCAAGTAATTTACATAACTTGTAGTGATTGCCGGTTGAAGTGCTTACAATAATACTTTGTGTCGAGTAGTTGCTCGTGTGGCATTTGATATAGTTCGGAGACATTTTCCGTTGTCGCTTGAACGCTGAACTTTGTGACTCTAGAGCAGGTCGTGTTCGGTTCTAGAAATAATTTGTTGCCACGTGAAACGGAAGTGAACTTTGATCCGCCCATTCGGTATTCGTGCCGTGTGTTATGTGTTTGATTATAAGTAACGGGATTTAGTTGCGTTTTGAAGTTAGTTAAATGTACAATAAAGTTGATAGACTGAATTAGTGAATTGAGGACAGAAGTTGTTAATTGGTGATCGCCCACTTTTGAGAGATCTCACCTTTGGAGTAGTGACAGCGCCGGTGGATCTGCGGTCAGACTTCAAAGGCTAATTCGGGTTAAACACACATACACTTCTCATACACTACTTACATTCACCACACCTGACGCCTGAACGAGCCTTGGGGTCCTTCTTCGCTTCTGAAGCAGGTAAGTCAAGTAAATTAAGTACCTAATCTATATATCTCAAATATCCATAGGCATTTGGGCCCCGTCCTTAGTTATCCGTCGAGTACAGCTGTATGGGCCCCTGTATAGTCGACCTTTGTCGGGACAGCTAGGGGCGTGTACAATTACTACTATTACTTAAATGTCTTTGAATAATAATTATCATTTCTGGACAATGTTTTAGGTTTCATTACGCGACTACTCCAAGAGCTGCTTGCTAACTACAATTGTTTCGCAAACGATCGGCCGACTGTTGGCTAGTGTGCGCACTCACCACTTGCACCCAGTATGCGCACTGGCATCCCAACCCGACTAAACTCTAGCCCTATAGAAAGTCTGCAGTATGCGGTGTCTCTAACTTCTGAAACTTTTCACAGTACAGTAGTATTATAGTGCCAACAGTCCACGCATATTCACAGAAAAACACACAGACACATAATCAGCAATCAGAATACAATAATTACTTATTATGTTTACTACCGATTAGTTCCTCTTCTTGCCGCTTGGGTATTCTGGCGCTGATTTCTTCCTTCACGTCGTCCACTAGCCGGTAGATGACATTGTGTAGTTTAATAGGTATGTTGTTCTTTTTCGCTTCTACGGACAACGTAGGCGGACATTCCACGTTGAATGCGTATACAACAGCGTTGAATGCTTGTGCGATCTGGGGGAAAAATAACCTTATTGATTCGGTCATAGAATTGATAGTGGTTTTTTTACATAGAATGATTGTGACCGTGTAAAGGCGGTATCAGAATATCCATTACACTATATTGTCCCGTGAGTGTCGTAAGAAGCGATATATAACAACAAAAAAAAACTGCGGTTGTAAACGTAGCGTTGAGATATGGGGCATATATTATAAGGTAATCTATGGGGAGGCTTATGTTCAGCAGTGGACTGTTTTAGGCTGTGGTGGATGAAGGTTGTCACACAGTCCACTAGAGATGATAAGTGGATGCCGTGACCCATACTGCATCTATCTTCGAATAAGAATCAAAATGCAGATGCGCTGCCAACTCTGAGGTCTAAGATCAAATGCCTCGATTCCAGTAAAAAGGGTCTCCGTTTCTCTACAATCACCATACGAAACACAGCACCTAATTCACGCTGGTATTCTGTGAGAGCGCGTTTCTTCCCCGGTCGAACCGACCCATTCGTGTTACAGCCATAATATAGCTGCAGCGTGGCTCTACCACGTATATGAGTCACCTTAGTTGATTTTGATTGCCACTCCTACAGTTTAATGCTTCGGGTTTTTGTCATTAGAGAAAGCATTTTGTTTTTGCAATGGAATTTGAAGGTCTCGGGGGATAAGCGCTCTTCATAATAATTTATCCAAACAAAAATATAAATGTGATAATAGGACCAAATTCAAGATGATGTTTGAGTTTAGGGTTGTCGGCTTCGCTGATAAAAAGTCTGAGATCTGAACGGGTACCAATCCCGTAAGTTGTTTGTCTCCCTACCCAACTGGGCCCCCTCTACGCATTTGTTATTAACATGTAGTGCTTACAAAAATCGTTGTTTCTTAAAACTTTAGTAACTTTTTATTAAATGAAGTTATCGTAATATTTTCTTAAGATATGGGCCAAGTGTCTAAGAAATAAAACTTAGAAAACCTTTGAAATATATCCAGTAGTTTTTCCGTGATGCGCACACAACTGCAAACCTCTGTTATTTTATTTATATAAGATGACATAATAATTACGATTTGATTTATTGGTCATTACAAGAAAGTAAATATTTTTTAATGAATGGTTTAGTTAGGATCGAGGCAGGAGCACGCTCTCAGAATACTAACGTAAAAGAGCAACTTAATGCTGTGCGAATTAGTGTGTGGTGGGTGTTTACACTTTAGAACCGGACATCCTTTTTACAGGATACGAGTCATTCCATCTTAGTCCTCAGGGGTGACAACGCATCTGCATTTTGATTCTTAATTGAGGATAAATGTAGATGTCTATGGGCCACAGCATTCACTTACCATCAGGTGGACGGTGTGCTCGTTTGTCACCCTTATTCTATAAGAAAAACATGTGTTCAGTTCACTCGCGAAAAGATAATAGGAAACATTGTATATGGTATTTTATCTCATTCTCTCACATGCTCAATCCTATCCTATAGATGTATATGTTTGTCTCTTTTTAGTATCGCTTTTCCGTTACACCAAGTTTCAAATCACATCGAATCTAAAGAATTTATCACTTCAAAAATAGTCTAGTGTATCAGTTACTTTAAATCCAGAACGGCTGCAATGCTGGTTAATTATGCAGAAAGTGTTTTTTTGCATGCGTCAAACTCCTTCAAACAATTAATTTTCTCTACCATAAATATAATTTACATAGTAAGCTCGTGAATTTGTGTGAAACATACCTCTAGGTCGTTGGGCGTCACGTGTCCCACGCCGTAATGCACGAGGTCCAGTCGCACTCTGTCATGTTCGTCGTACGTCTCCAATATGTCAAGGATCGCTTCTACGGAACCGTCCACGTCACCTGACAATAAAAATGTGTTGAAAATTCTGTAAATTCATCACTAGAAATATCTTTTTTTTATTCAATATAAGTCACTCTTATGCTTAATTTATCACTGGTTCGGAAAATACTTTTGTCCTGGGAAGAAATAGCAAGAAAACTAGCGGGACATTTTTGAAAAAAAAAAAAAGAACAGTTTCAATCATTAAAGTTACGCAATAACTAACATCACAGAACACATTAGAAATGGCAAGGTAGTGATCACTTTATTTCCAAATCTAAAAAATTAGGGCTTGATGTGTTAATGGATGAGTTTGTGTAAATTTAGTGTTAAAATCTTTCTTAATTTTCATACGTATAATTGTGAATTCTACAAAAAAAAAGTCAACCTATGTATTTAAAACATAAAAGATTTTTAATATTGATATGGTCACTGTAAGATGTTGTTAGGTTAGCTAAGTACGTAATAACTTGAGACAGAAGGACCCTTAAGTAGGGACTGAATAAATTAACCGACTTGGTATTACATGAATCTCACAACTTTTTACGGTAGAAGAACTGAGTTGCGAGACTTGGTTTTTTTTACAAGTTATGTTTTTGATGGCATCACATTTCTTTTTGTAGATAGTTACATCTAGGTACTTATCTACACACCTCTTATTTCATTTTATATTATACATATATAGGTACACTGATTCATTCACTGCAAATGTAACTTTGTAATCCTATAGATTTATATGGGATTACAAAGTTATTTATGCAGTTGGTGTATCTAGGAAACTGGACCGAAATTACAAAATATTTTAATTTTTCCTTGATTTATATACTAAACACTAATTGTACTCTAAATTTGAAGCTTCTACATCTGCTAGAAGTGCCTTAGAGTTTTGATGATCGATCAGTCAGTGAGTGACAAAATTAAGAAACTTTGACTAGTTATAATTCTTAACTACTGGTTCCAATTGAATGAAATTTAAAATATACCGTGTTTATACAATGCATGCTTGGTTACTGAAAATTCAGGTTTCTAGTTTTACCCACAACGAAGTTATAGGGGGTCGAAAATGGCCTGAACTGCTTCGAGAAAAAGATGGTACGGCCGTGCCGCTTTTTTGCTCGATTTGTTTTGCTCGACTTGGCGGTACCTTAAAAATCCGTACATTTTCCAAACCAATTCTTTAACCATTTCATTTTTTTAATTGCATATTATCATTTCCATATGCTTTTATATGTGTGTGCACCTATGGCAAAAGTGTCTATGAACGGTGGGCATTCCCCTTTGGGCGTATATTACTAAATAACTCTGCCACATAATGGACAACATAATAGTATACAATATACATAATAGAATACAACAGACAAAAATTTGGCGCTTATCATTGTAAAGGGAACCCACCCCACGATGTCGCCGCAAGCTCTTTGAGCGAGCATTACATACAAGTCCCTCACACACAGAGGTGTATCTCCCCAAATACACAAAATTGAGACCGAATAGTCAGGTAAAACTACTTGAAGTTTGGCTTATAATAAGTAAAAAAAAACTCTCTTTTCTCATATTTTCTGACTGTCGTACCTTTTACTATAACTCTAAGTGTGGGATGTGTATCTTCTTTAATAAGCTTCTGTCTTGGTCCGTCGGGCCGGAGTCTCATTCGTCCGAGAGCGCGTTTGTGTGCCAACGCCTCGCGGTACTGCGCTCTGTGAGTAGCTTCTGATATCGCTTCGGAGTCCTCTTCTTGCTTCTCTTTCATGCTTTGGCTGTGACGCCATTTCATCACCTCGTTCGCACGTTTCTGTCGCGAACGGTTTATTCATTAATTCATTACAGCCCATCAGAAGTTAATTGATAAACATAAGCCTTTAAATGGATTTTCTCATAGAAAAGAATATTAGATATACTTGTCACACTTAGCAACCGCATTTAAAAAAAATATAGAATAAGGATGACAAACTAGCACTGATGGTAGATGGGTGCTGTGGCTCAGACATCTACAATTATCCTCAATTAAGAATCAAAATGCACATGCGTTGTCACCCATGAGGTACACATATAGATATACGTGGTAAAGCCATGCAGCTACATTAGTAGTATAGCTCTCACAGAATACCAGCGTAAAATAGCGGAATAATGCTGTTGTGTTTCGAATGGTGAGTGTAGGGAACCGAAAATTCTTTTTAATGGAAAAGAGGCATTCCATCTTAGTCCTCACGGCTGACAACGAATCTGCATTTCGATTCGCAAACGAAGATAGATTTAGATGTCTATGGGTGACAGCAACCACTTACCATCAGGTGGACAGTGTGCTCGCTTGTCATCGTTATCCAATATTTTTGTTTAAACAACACTTGTTTTACTCCCAATACTGAAAAACGTATTTATAGAATCCAAGTCTAATAATAACGCAAGGTACATTTTTAAGCCAATTACTATTTTAGATTTAAAGAAATAGTCTCTAAATTATTTATCTTAAAATTCAAGTACTATTTTACATTTAAAGAAATTGTCTCTAAATTACTTATCTTTACTTTTAACATTTTTACCAATACAAATAATAAATTTTGATTAAAAAATAACATTTTAAACATACCTCTGAGTCAACTTCGAGCACGGTATCCCCGGCAGCCGGCAGTTCCCGCCAGCCCAGCACCGACACGGGACTCGAAGGCGGAGCCTCCAGTACGGGCCGACCATCTGCCGATTGCAGCATGCGGACCTACATCATACAATGCAAGTACAAAATGTATTCTTAAAGGTGTTAAATATTAATTAACCGCGTAAAAAACCCGGGTGTGGCAATGCCTAGACACGGCCGTATGTTTTACGTGAATACGTGTACGTAACGAAACGAACTCAAAATGGCGGCGCTCCCCCCTCCGCCGCGCACGATCTTTCACTGTCTTCACTCAACGTAACGAATTCTTTGATACTTTAGTTATCGAGTGGTGTAATTAAATTTTGGATGTAGATGATAGATATTTTTTTTTATAGTATCGGGTGACAAACGAGCACACAGTCCACCTGATGGTAAGTGGTTACTGTGACCCATAGACATCTACATCTATACTCAATAAAGACTCAAGATGCAGATGTCACCCGTGAGGACTAAGATGGAATGCCTCTTTGCCAGTAAAAAGGGTCTCCGGTTCTCTACACTCACCATACGAAACACAGCAGTGTTGAGCTGCTATTTTACGCTGGTTTTCTGTGAGAGCGTGGTCCTTCCCCGGTCGAGCCGACCCATTCGTGCTACAACCATAATATAGCTGCAGCATGGCTCTACCACGTAGAACGCCACGTTGCAACGCCAAACTGCATCCCCCGATTTTGTTATCATCAGTTTTCTGAATTGCCTCTCACTGTGAAAGCAAATTTAACACCATAGGTGCTCTTAAAACTGGGTAAGACACATCATTGTTAGTTTTTACGCGGATCTTGGCGAAATTATTATTAAAATCTTAATGTATTTTCCGCAAAGTAACACATTCTTTTAATTAAAATATATTATTTTTATATTTTTATCGCAGATTGATGTCAGATATTTTGATCGAAAGATGAGGTACTGTTTGGGTCGCTTAACCAACGCAGTACTCTTCTGTATCATCATCGTCATCATCATAATTACCTTCAAAAGTGCACTACTGAACACGACCTCCCACAAGGAATGCCAAAAATCACGGTCCTGAGCCACCTGCATCCATCAATTTCCTGCATGTCTTACCAGGGTGTCCCTCCATCTAGTGGGGGGCCGCCCCCGCCTTACACTTCGCTTACCGATACACGAGCACCTTTTTTCCACATCGGTTGTCGGTTCTTGGAGCTATATGACCGGCCCACGGAGCAACTGTGCACTGTGATTCTAACTAGGTCCTGACGTCATCACAGTGGGCGTGGCTTTAGTTAGTATACTGTTAGCGTTTGTCCTGTGCGTGTATGTATCGAAAATTGCAAATCAGTGTATTTTCGTAGTATTAAGAAGAAAGGGATGAAGTGTTGTGTTTTATCGTGTAAAAACTACTTAGATAGACGCTCTGATGCTATGAATGGCATTTTATTTGTAAGTAATTTTACACATTTAATTTATTAAAATAGTTCTAGAAAAATCTCTGCGTCGGTTTTCAAATATAATTAAATACATTCGACACTAGATGGCGACAATTTCTGTCATGTAAACTAAAAATATAAAGGTACGTAGAGCTCAGTATTGGTAAAATAATCAAGCGAAAGTGCTGGAATTTGTTTTGCATTCAGTCCTAAAGAATTTTTAATCGCTAAAATTATATTTTTTTTAGTTTTTATAATCATATTGTGAACAGGCTGTCATTTATCGTCAAGGTCAATCGATGCGAGTAATTTTACTATTTATCGGTAGATGGAAAATAGTTAAGTAGACGGGACTTAACACCCCCTTACCCCGCAAATTGTCACGTCTTGTTACATAGTGAAATCTAATTACAACGCCTCTTTTTATTTGCTCCATGCGCCGGCCCATTGCCACTACAGCTTACTAATCCGTTGGGCTATGTCGGTTACTCTGGTTCTACTACGGATATCCTCATTTCTAAGTTTATCACGCAGAGAAACCCCGAGCATAGCCCTCTCCATAGCTCTTCTGTATACAGAGCATTAATCTCATATTATTCCTAATAAATTCTCTTGTGCGAAAAGGGCAAGGGTAAGTCCTAAAAATAAAGACATTGCCGGCCTCAATATTGTTTTTTTTTTTATTTCAACCGCCGACCAACTTTATAAAATAAGCAATTATAAAATAAAAATATATGGACAACTCTTAATCGTTGGACGATTGAAAGTACAACTGACAAAAAAAAACTGTAAAAGACATCTTATTTTTTAATCTAAGTTAACTGAAATAATTATGTCAGTACTAAAATCGAAAAATATTGATGTCAAACACATATAGTACATGGAAATACTTTTAGATGTAAATCTTTTCAAGTTTAAAGATAAATCGTATTATTAATCAAAATAGAATTTTTGTATTCAACGTGATACTATTTATAAAGAAAGCAAGCTAAAATGAGACAAGTCTTGCGCCCAGCTGTGATGTAGATAGATTGTTACATTATGTACTTTAAGCATCATACAAACCATTTTTTTCAAGCATTTTTTACGGCTAAGACAGTGCGATTTACCATCTAGGGCTTCATTACCACTTACTGTTACTTAATTATTGTCAAGCACTGCTTTATAATAATAGAAAAAAAATTGTCTAACTTAATTCTTACCTTAGCCCAGCCGTTTCCTGCAACGAGAATGCAACCTTTCCGAAGTGTCCCTCTCTGTACTAGCACAGTCGCTTGTTTCCTAAAAGTAATGTACATGTCAAAACTGCTCGTGTATTTAGAATTTAGAATACCTTTTGTGTTTAGATTTTTTTTTTCAATTTATATTTTTTATTAAATTACCCAGCTGAAGTTACGAGATGACTAGAGATGACATGATTCTATCCTAACATTTTCTCTCGTGTTGTTTTTTAAAAACCAAAAGTAGCATTCATAAAATCATATGATGTACGAAATTGCTGCATTTGCTATTTTAATTCTCTAAGCTGATTTCGTTAATATTGTTAAAGTAAATTCAATTTTGAATTTAAATCTGAAGGTGATAACAATGAATTTTATTTGTGCACCTGAAAGTAGTTTTCAAAAAATAGCATTCAAAACATTTTAAATTTAGCACATTAAATAAAAATAATATACCCTGGACCAAATTTCGGTCACGACGGCCAGTCTCAAGCCAAAATCAGTAATTAGGTTTCTCTGTCAAGAAATTCTCAGTAACAGCTCGGAGTCAGGAAGTTGACGGTGATGTACCCCCACGCCTCAGAAGCACGTAAAGTCGTTTGTCCTGCGCCTGATCTCTGCTCGTGTCGAACAACCGTCCTATCGGACTATGAGAGTGAGGCAATAGAGAGTGCATATTTCTGTCCTGCGTAGATGGCTAGTATCGTTTGAGCACAGAATAGATAAACCTAGCAAGCTAACAGCATAGCAAAGTGGCGAAGCAATCAGCTTTGTAGCGGTTTCTAACGGTTGCCGTTGAGCAATCAGTTTCAAAATAGGAGGTTCAGATGCCTGGGTGATCAGTAATCGATTGCTGAAAACAGAATTTGAAAATTCGAAACCGTTCTCGAGATTATTGTGGGACAGACGGACAGACGGACAGACATCGTGAAATCAATAAGTGACTTCGCAAGCTTCGCCACTTAATAATAGTACAAGAAAGACAAGATGCCGTGACCGAAAATATTTACAATTTTTTTGTAGAATAAGGGTGACAAACGAGCACACAGTTCACCTGATACTGCTGTGGCCATAGACATCTACATTTATCCTCGATTAAGAATCAAAATGCAGCTGCGTTGTCACCCGTGAGGACTAAGATGAAATGCCCCATTTTCAGTAAAAAGGGTATCCGGTGCGCTGCACCCACCACACGAAACACTAGCAATTAAGCATTATAATTAAGCATTAAGCTGCTATTTTACACTGGTATTCTGTGAGAACGTGGTCCTACCCCGGTCAAGCCGACCCATTCGTACTGCAATCACAACACAGCTACAGCATGGCTCTACCACGTAAAACACATATGAACATTAATTATAGCAAAAAAAATATGAATACATTTTGTTTATGAGGGCAAAGTATCACAACTCACCCAACCCGCGGGTCGAGTTGAGCTTCCAGCACGACTCCCTCCACATATCCCCCGGGGTCCGCCTTGAGCTCCATCAGTTGCGCCTGAAGTGTCAGCGCCTCCACCAACGTGTCTAGATGCAACTTCTTCAGCGCGGACACTTGCACGGCTTGTACGTCTCCGCCCAGAGCTTCACACACCACGCCGTGTTGTGCTAGCGAACGTAGTGTGCGTTGCTATGGACAAATGAAACGTTCAAGATTTTCATCTTAAGAATATAAGACATTAAGAATTTTATCTATTTGACCGACTTGAAAAAAGAGGTTATTATTGCCAGTCTAGTTCTTTTTTTAATGCATATAAAATGATATCTTCGGGGTTAGTAAGAAGTTTTTACTTCAACATTGGTCCTAGGGATGGGCAAGGAAAAAATATATCGATATATTTCGAAACGGGATATATTTGAAGGCTACGTGGCGCAGTGGCTTTGCAATCAGTTGTTGCGCTGGGAGCCGCGGGTTCGAATCCCGCACGGAACAAGGATTTGTATGGCCTACAACTAATTGTTCCGGGTCTGGATGTTTGTCCTTGTGCAATTTATGTTTGTAAACTGCCTCCACGACACAGGAAATCCTAGTGTGGGGATAACGTTTTTTTTAATAATAAATAAACGACATTTTGAACAGTATCGACATATATCGCGTGATAAATATCGATATATCGTCATCATTTGCATGATGTAAAGAGATAAGGCCCAAACTTTAATATTACTGACGGTTGGACGAAGAAAAAATGAAAACAACAACCACAAATGAATGCTTTTGTAGGTCCTCTTGTTGTTTCATGTTTTGTCTATTAATACGTGGTCCATTAATATTTACTCACACGTGGTAGAGCCATGTTGCAGCTATATTATGGTTGTAGCTTGAATGGGTCGCCTCGACCGGAGAAAGACCACGCTCTCACAGAATGCCACCGTAAAATAGCAGCTTAACGCTGCTGTTTCGTATGGTGAGTGTAGAGACCCGGAGACCCTGTTTACTGGAAACGGGGCATTCCATCTTAGTCCTCACGGGTGACAACGCATCTACATTTTGATTCTTAATCGTAGATAGATGTAGATGTCTATGGGCCACAGCAACCACTTACCATCAAGTGGACTGTGTGCTCGTTTGTCACCCTTATCCTATAAAAAAAAGTTCGTTACTCTAAAATAAATATCGATATACCGATATATCGCGATTAAAAATATATATCGATATTTTTATGAGGAAATATCGTTATTTCGATATATCGAAATTTTTGCCCAAGCTTAATTGGTCCCATTTAAGTTAACACCTATTACCAGGTGGTAGGACTACGAGTACTCTTCTGAGTTGGAGCCCGTCTAAATAGGTAGTAGGTATCTTTCCTACCTATTTTGTCACCAAACAGCCGCTTGTACCGCTGCCTTTTGGTATGAAGGGCATAGAGAGCCAATAAAATTACCGGCTGTGAGGCAATCTATCTTAGTCCTCAGAGGTGACGACACATTTTTAGTGTTTATTGTTTGAATTTGGCTGCAGGTTTATGTAGGTATGGTACCTACTCAAACGGATTCCTAGGGAGAAAAGTAGTTTCACCTAGGCCAAGCATCATTAACAATAATTTTTTCTCTATTGTACTAAAGACATGTACAAATGTATGTCAAATTGAGGCATACCTACAATGTCTACACCTGGCTTGTCGATTTTGTTGATCGCCACCAGTATTGGTACTGTAAGGAAAAAAAAATACAGTTTATTTCCAATTCAGGCAAGATCGCAAAAATATTATGTGTATGAGTTTTTGTGTGTAATTAATACTTCGTATTTTCCTATGCGAGTATGGTTTTGTATTTAACTAGCTGCAGATAGATAATAGTGTATACAAAATTAAGTAATTAACGACGCAATAAATAATTAAAATAAAACAAATGAAAATTAAAAGTTTCTTTTTATGTCATTTTAGTTTTAATTAAATTAGATAAAATTTTAATACAAAATAATATTTTCATTCTCTGATACACTAAACGTCACTCAAAACATTTTTGCCTCTTTATAACTGGTAAGTTTTGGCAAATTCTAGAACTTTCTCTAACATTCTGAAACATTATAGAACATTCCTTGACATTCGATATCGCTCTTAAACATTTTATAACATTCTAGAGCATTCTGAAATATTGTATAGTATGTTCACTAAGATAGTATCGGTACACTCTGAGGCGCACTTATAATTTTGCTTTTATATATATTTATTACTGTTTGTAAATGTTTTCCTATTCTAAAAATAAAATAGAAAACAATTTTTTTCATGTTTATTGTAATAAAATACGAATATAAATAATAAACACAAGTTAGGAAGCAAAGAACGTTTCACAACAGTGTGAAAGGTTCCATGCTACTTAAAGTTTCGCCTAACTGGCGTTTTGTTTTAAAATGCCAAATTCTCCTGCGGGTGTACGCCGCACGCAACAATCTTTTATGTCGCGGCGGCGCCTTTGACAAGATGCAACACGTGCCAAAGCGGCGCGGAACAAAGGCGACCGTATCTAAACGCCATGCGCACATACTCGACCACCACCAGCACCTAGTGACTACAAGCCACTTGGTGTGAAGAGTTCCCTCACCGTCCGCCTCGCGCGCCATGCGCACGGACTCGATGGTCTGCTCCATGACGCCGTCGTCCGCGGCCACCACCAGCACCTAGTGACTACAAGCCACTTGGTGTGAAGAGTTCCCTCACCGTCCGCCTCGCGCGCCATGCGCACGGACTCGATGGTCTGCTCCATGACGCCGTCGTCCGCGGCCACCACCAGCACCACCAGCACCTAGTGACTACAAGCCACTTGGTGTGAAGAGTTCCCTCACCGTCCGCCTCGCGCGCCATGCGCACGGACTCGATGGTCTGCTCCATGACGCCGTCGTCCGCGGCCACCACCAGCACCACCAGCACCTAGTGACTACAAGCCACTTGGTGTGAAGAGTTCCCTCACCGTCCGCCTCGCGCGCCATGCGCACGGACTCGATGGTCTGCTCCATGACGCCGTCGTCCGCGGCCACCACCAGCACCACCAGCACCTAGTGACTACAAGCCACTTGGTGTGAAGAGTTCCCTCACCGTCCGCCTCGCGCGCCATGCGCACGGACTCGATGGTCTGCTCCATGACGCCGTCGTCCGCGGCCACCACCAGCACCACCAGCACCTAGTGACTACAAGCCACTTGGTGTGAAGAGTTCCCTCACCGTCCGCCTCGCGCGCCATGCGCACGGACTCGATGGTCTGCTCCATGACGCCGTCGTCCGCGGCCACCACCAGCACCACCAGCACCTAGTGACTACAAGCCACTTGGTGTGAAGAGTTCCCTCACCGTCCGCCTCGCGCGCCATGCGCACGGACTCGATGGTCTGCTCCATGACGCCGTCGTCCGCGGCCACCACCAGCACCACCAGCACCTAGTGACTACAAGCCACTTGGTGTGAAGAGTTCCCTCACCGTCCGCCTCGCGCGCCATGCGCACGGACTCGATGGTCTGCTCCATGACGCCGTCGTCCGCGGCCACCACCAGCACCACCAGCACCTAGTGACTACAAGCCACTTGGTGTGAAGAGTTCCCTCACCGTCCGCCTCGCGCGCCATGCGCACGGACTCGATGGTCTGCTCCATGACGCCGTCGTCCGCGGCCACCACCAGCACCACCAGCACCTAGTGACTACAAGCCACTTGGTGTGAAGAGTTCCCTCACCGTCCGCCTCGCGCGCCATGCGCACGGACTCGATGGTCTGCTCCATGACGCCGTCGTCCGCGGCCACCACCAGCACCACCAGCACCTAGTGACTACAAGCCACTTGGTGTGAAGAGTTCCCTCACCGTCCGCCTCGCGCGCCATGCGCACGGACTCGATGGTCTGCTCCATGACGCCGTCGTCCGCGGCCACCACCAGCACCACCAGCACCTAGTGACTACAAGCCACTTGGTGTGAAGAGTTCCCTCACCGTCCGCCTCGCGCGCCATGCGCACGGACTCGATGGTCTGCTCCATGACGCCGTCGTCCGCGGCCACCACCAGCACCACCAGCACCTAGTGACTACAAGCCACTTGGTGTGAAGAGTTCCCTCACCGTCCGCCTCGCGCGCCATGCGCACGGACTCGATGGTCTGCTCCATGACGCCGTCGTCCGCGGCCACCACCAGCACCTAGTGACTACAAGCCACTTGGTGTGAAGAGTTCCCTCACCGTCCGCCTCGCGCGCCATGCGCACGGACTCGATGGTCTGCTCCATGACGCCGTCGTCCGCGGCCACCACCAGCACCACCAGCACCTAGTGACTACAAGCCACTTGGTGTGAAGAGTTCCCTCACCGTCCGCCTCGCGCGCCATGCGCACGGACTCGATGGTCTGCTCCATGACGCCGTCGTCCGCGGCCACCACCAGCACCACCAGCACCTAGTGACTACAAGCCACTTGGTGTGAAGAGTTCCCTCACCGTCCGCCTCGCGCGCCATGCGCACGGACTCGATGGTCTGCTCCATGACGCCGTCGTCCGCGGCCACCACCAGCACCACCAGCACCTAGTGACTACAAGCCACTTGGTGTGAAGAGTTCCCTCACCGTCCGCCTCGCGCGCCATGCGCACGGACTCGATGGTCTGCTCCATGACGCCATCGTCCGCGGCCACCACCAGCACCACCAGCACCTAGTGACTACAAGCCACTTGGTGTGAAGAGTTCCCTCACCGTCCGCCTCGCGCGCCATGCGCACGGACTCGATGGTCTGCTCCATGACGCCGTCGTCCGCGGCCACCACCAGCACCACCAGCACCTAGTGACTACAAGCCACTTGGTGTGAAGAGTTCCCTCACCGTCCGCCTCGCGCGCCATGCGCACGGACTCGATGGTCTGCTCCATGACGCCGTCGTCCGCGGCCACCACCAGCACCTAGTGACTACAAGCCACTTGGTGTGAAGAGTTCCCTCACCGTCCGCCTCGCGCGCCATGCGCACGGACTCGATGGTCTGCTCCATGACGCCGTCGTCCGCGGCCACCACCAGCACCACCAGCACCTAGTGACTACAAGCCACTTGGTGTGAAGAGTTCCCTCACCGTCCGCCTCGCGCGCCATGCGCACGGACTCGATGGTCTGCTCCATGACGCCGTCGTCCGCGGCCACCACCAGCACCACCAGCACCTAGTGACTACAAGCCACTTGGTGTGAAGAGTTCTCTCACCGTCCGCCTCGCGCGCCATGCGCACGGACTCGATGGTCTGCTCCATGACGCCGTCGTCCGCGGCCACCACCAGCACCACCAGCACCTAGTGACTACAAGCCACTTGGTGTGAAGAGTTCCCTCACCGTCCGCATCGCGCGCCATGCGCACGGACTCGATGGTCTGCTCCATGACGCCGTCGTCCGCGGCCACCACCAGCACCACCAGCACCTAGTGACTACAAGCCACTTGGTGTGAAGAGTTCCCTCACCGTCCGCCTCGCGCGCCATGCGCACGGACTCGATGGTCTGCTCCATGACGCCGTCGTCCGCGGCCACCACCAGCACCACCAGCACCTAGTGACTACAAGCCACTTGGTGTGAAGAGTTCCCTCACCGTCCGCCTCGCGCGCCATGCGCACGGACTCGATGGTCTGCTCCATGACGCCGTCGTCCGCGGCCACCACCAGCACCACCAGCACCTAGTGACTACAAGCCACTTGGTGTGAAGAGTTCCCTCACCGTCCGCCTCGCGCGCCATGCGCACGGACTCGATGGTCTGCTCCATGACGCCGTCGTCCGCGGCCACCACCAGCACCACCAGCACCTAGTGACTACAAGCCACTTGGTGTGAAGAGTTCCCTCACCGTCCGCCTCGCGCGCCATGCGCACGGACTCGATGGTCTGCTCCATGACGCCGTCGTCCGCGGCCACCACCAGCACCACCAGCACCTAGTGACTACAAGCCACTTGGTGTGAAGAGTTCCCTCACCGTCCGCCTCGCGCGCCATGCGCACGGACTCGATGGTCTGCTCCATGACGCCGTCGTCCGCGGCCACCACCAGCACCACCAGCACCTAGTGACTACAAGCCACTTGGTGTGAAGAGTTCCCTCACCGTCCGCCTCGCGCGCCATGCGCACGGACTCGATGGTCTGCTCCATGACGCCGTCGTCCGCGGCCACCACCAGCACCACCAGCACCTAGTGACTACAAGCCACTTGGTGTGAAGAGTTCCCTCACCGTCCGCCTCGCGCGCCATGCGCACGGACTCGATGGTCTGCTCCATGACGCCGTCGTCCGCGGCCACCACCAGCACCACCAGCACCTAGTGACTACAAGCCACTTGGTGTGAAGAGTTCCCTCACCGTCCGCCTCGCGCGCCATGCGCACGGACTCGATGGTCTGCTCCATGACGCCGTCGTCCGCGGCCACCACCAGCACCACCAGCACCTAGTGACTACAAGCCACTTGGTGTGAAGAGTTCCCTCACCGTCCGCCTCGCGCGCCATGCGCACGGACTCGATGGTCTGCTCCATGACGCCGTCGTCCGCGGCCACCACCAGCACCACCAGCACCTAGTGACTACAAGCCACTTGGTGTGAAGAGTTCCCTCACCGTCCGCCTCGCGCGCCATGCGCACGGACTCGATGGTCTGCTCCATGACGCCGTCGTCCGCGGCCACCACCAGCACCACCAGCACCTAGTGACTACAAGCCACTTGGTGTGAAGAGTTCCCTCACCGTCCGCCTCGCGCGCCATGCGCACGGACTCGATGGTCTGCTCCATGACGCCGTCGTCCGCGGCCACCACCAGCACCACCAGCACCTAGTGACTACAAGCCACTTGGTGTGAAGAGTTCCCTCACCGTCCGCCTCGCGCGCCATGCGCACGGACTCGATGGTCTGCTCCATGACGCCGTCGTCCGCGGCCACCACCAGCACCACCAGCACCTAGTGACTACAAGCCACTTGGTGTGAAGAGTTCCCTCACCGTCCGCCTCGCGCGCCATGCGCACGGACTCGATGGTCTGCTCCATGACGCCGTCGTCCGCGGCCACCACCAGCACCACCAGCACCTAGTGACTACAAGCCACTTGGTGTGAAGAGTTCCCTCACCGTCCGCCTCGCGCGCCATGCGCACGGACTCGATGGTCTGCTCCATGACGCCGTCGTCCGCGGCCACCACCAGCACCACCAGCACCTAGTGACTACAAGCCACTTGGTGTGAAGAGTTCCCTCACCGTCCGCCTCGCGCGCCATGCGCACGGACTCGATGGTCTGCTCCATGACGCCGTCGTCCGCGGCCACCACCAGCACCACCAGCACCTAGTGACTACAAGCCACTTGGTGTGAAGAGTTCCCTCACCGTCCGCCTCGCGCGCCATGCGCACGGACTCGATGGTCTGCTCCATGACGCCGTCGTCCGCGGCCACCACCAGCACCACCAGCACCTAGTGACTACAAGCCACTTGGTGTGAAGAGTTCCCTCACCGTCCGCCTCGCGCGCCATGCGCACGGACTCGATGGTCTGCTCCATGACGCCGTCGTCCGCGGCCACCACCAGCACCTAGTGACTACAAGCCACTTGGTGTGAAGAGTTCCCTCACCGTCCGCCTCGCGCGCCATGCGCACGGACTCGATGGTCTGCTCCATGACGCCGTCGTCCGCGGCCACCACCAGCACCTAGTGACTACAAGCCACTTGGTGTGAAGAGTTCCCTCACCGTCCGCCTCGCGCGCCATGCGCACGGACTCGATGGTCTGCTCCATGACGCCGTCGTCCGCGGCCACCACCAGCACCACCAGCACCTAGTGACTACAAGCCACTTGGTGTGAAGAGTTCCCTCACCGTCCGCCTCGCGCGCCATGCGCACGGACTCGATGGTCTGCTCCATGACGCCGTCGTCCGCGGCCACCACCAGCACCACCAGCACCTAGTGACTACAAGCCACTTGGTGTGAAGAGTTCCCTCACCGTCCGCCTCGCGCGCCATGCGCACGGACTCGATGGTCTGCTCCATGACGCCGTCGTCCGCGGCCACCACCAGCACCACCAGCACCTAGTGACTACAAGCCACTTGGTGTGAAGAGTTCCCTCACCGTCCGCCTCGCGCGCCATGCGCACGGACTCGATGGTCTGCTCCATGACGCCGTCGTCCGCGGCCACCACCAGCACCACCAGCACCTAGTGACTACAAGCCACTTGGTGTGAAGAGTTCCCTCACCGTCCGCCTCGCGCGCCATGCGCACGGACTCGATGGTCTGCTCCATGACGCCGTCGTCCGCGGCCACCACCAGCACCACCAGCACCTAGTGACTACAAGCCACTTGGTGTGAAGAGTTCCCTCACCGTCCGCCTCGCGCGCCATGCGCACGGACTCGATGGTCTGCTCCATGACGCCGTCGTCCGCGGCCACCACCAGCACCACCAGCACCTAGTGACTACAAGCCACTTGGTGTGAAGAGTTCCCTCACCGTCCGCCTCGCGCGCCATGCGCACGGACTCGATGGTCTGCTCCATGACGCCGTCGTCCGCGGCCACCACCAGCACCTAGTGACTACAAGCCACTTGGTGTGAAGAGTTCCCTCACCGTCCGCCTCGCGCGCCATGCGCACGGACTCGATGGTCTGCTCCATGACGCCGTCGTCCGCGGCCACCACCAGCACCACCAGCACCTAGTGACTACAAGCCACTTGGTGTGAAGAGTTCCCTCACCGTCCGCCTCGCGCGCCATGCGCACGGACTCGATGGTCTGCTCCATGACGCCGTCGTCCGCGGCCACCACCAGCACCTAGTGACTACAAGCCACTTGGTGTGAAGAGTTCCCTCACCGTCCGCCTCGCGCGCCATGCGCACGGACTCGATGGTCTGCTCCATGACGCCGTCGTCCGCGGCCACCACCAGCACCACCAGCACCTAGTGACTACAAGCCACTTGGTGTGAAGAGTTCCCTCACCGTCCGCCTCGCGCGCCATGCGCACGGACTCGATGGTCTGCTCCATGACGCCGTCGTCCGCGGCCACCACCAGCACCACCAGCACCTAGTGACTACAAGCCACTTGGTGTGAAGAGTTCCCTCACCGTCCGCCTCGCGCGCCATGCGCACGGACTCGATGGTCTGCTCCATGACGCCGTCGTCCGCGGCCACCACCAGCACCACCAGCACCTAGTGACTACAAGCCACTTGGTGTGAAGAGTTCCCTCACCGTCCGCCTCGCGCGCCATGCGCACGGACTCGATGGTCTGCTCCATGACGCCGTCGTCCGCGGCCACCACCAGCACCACCAGCACCTAGTGACTACAAGCCACTTGGTGTGAAGAGTTCCCTCACCGTCCGCCTCGCGCGCCATGCGCACGGACTCGATGGTCTGCTCCATGACGCCGTCGTCCGCGGCCACCACCAGCACCACCAGCACCTAGTGACTACAAGCCACTTGGTGTGAAGAGTTCCCTCACCGTCCGCCTCGCGCGCCATGCGCACGGACTCGATGGTCTGCTCCATGACGCCGTCGTCCGCGGCCACCACCAGCACCACCAGCACCTAGTGACTACAAGCCACTTGGTGTGAAGAGTTCCCTCACCGTCCGCCTCGCGCGCCATGCGCACGGACTCGATGGTCTGCTCCATGACGCCGTCGTCCGCGGCCACCACCAGCACCACCAGCACCTAGTGACTACAAGCCACTTGGTGTGAAGAGTTCCCTCACCGTCCGCCTCGCGCGCCATGCGCACGGACTCGATGGTCTGCTCCATGACGCCGTCGTCCGCGGCCACCACCAGCACCACCAGCACCTAGTGACTACAAGCCACTTGGTGTGAAGAGTTCCCTCACCGTCCGCCTCGCGCGCCATGCGCACGGACTCGATGGTCTGCTCCATGACGCCGTCGTCCGCGGCCACCACCAGCACCACCAGCACCTAGTGACTACAAGCCACTTGGTGTGAAGAGTTCCCTCACCGTCCGCCTCGCGCGCCATGCGCACGGACTCGATGGTCTGCTCCATGACGCCGTCGTCCGCGGCCACCACCAGCACCACCAGCACCTAGTGACTACAAGCCACTTGGTGTGAAGAGTTCCCTCACCGTCCGCCTCGCGCGCCATGCGCACGGACTCGATGGTCTGCTCCATGACGCCGTCGTCCGCGGCCACCACCAGCACCACCAGCACCTAGTGACTACAAGCCACTTGGTGTGAAGAGTTCCCTCACCGTCCGCCTCGCGCGCCATGCGCACGGACTCGATGGTCTGCTCCATGACGCCGTCGTCCGCGGCCACCACCAGCACCACCAGCACCTAGTGACTACAAGCCACTTGGTGTGAAGAGTTCCCTCACCGTCCGCCTCGCGCGCCATGCGCACGGACTCGATGGTCTGCTCCATGACGCCGTCGTCCGCGGCCACCACCAGCACCTAGTGACTACAAGCCACTTGGTGTGAAGAGTTCCCTCACCGTCCGCCTCGCGCGCCATGCGCACGGACTCGATGGTCTGCTCCATGACGCCGTCGTCCGCGGCCACCACCAGCACCACCAGCACCTAGTGACTACAAGCCACTTGGTGTGAAGAGTTCCCTCACCGTCCGCCTCGCGCGCCATGCGCACGGACTCGATGGTCTGCTCCATGACGCCGTCGTCCGCGGCCACCACCAGCACCACCAGCACCTAGTGACTACAAGCCACTTGGTGTGAAGAGTTCCCTCACCGTCCGCCTCGCGCGCCATGCGCACGGACTCGATGGTCTGCTCCATGACGCCGTCGTCCGCGGCCACCACCAGCACCACCAGCACCTAGTGACTACAAGCCACTTGGTGTGAAGAGTTCCCTCACCGTCCGCCTCGCGCGCCATGCGCACGGACTCGATGGTCTGCTCCATGACGCCGTCGTCCGCGGCCACCACCAGCACCACCAGCACCTAGTGACTACAAGCCACTTGGTGTGAAGAGTTCCCTCACCGTCCGCCTCGCGCGCCATGCGCACGGACTCGATGGTCTGCTCCATGACGCCGTCGTCCGCGGCCACCACCAGCACCACCAGCACCTAGTGACTACAAGCCACTTGGTGTGAAGAGTTCCCTCACCGTCCGCCTCGCGCGCCATGCGCACGGACTCGATGGTCTGCTCCATGACGCCGTCGTCCGCGGCCACCACCAGCACCACCAGCACCTAGTGACTACAAGCCACTTGGTGTGAAGAGTTCCCTCACCGTCCGCCTCGCGCGCCATGCGCACGGACTCGATGGTCTGCTCCATGACGCCGTCGTCCGCGGCCACCACCAGCACCTAGTGACTACAAGCCACTTGGTGTGAAGAGTTCCCTCACCGTCCGCCTCGCGCGCCATGCGCACGGACTCGATGGTCTGCTCCATGACGCCGTCGTCCGCGGCCACCACCAGCACTACGACGTCGGTGGCGCCGGCTCCACGTGCTCGCATTGCGCTGAACGCCGCGTGCCCCGGTGTGTCCAGGAACGTCACTGTCTCCCCTGACCGCAGCCTCACTGCAATGTACAAGGAGGGCTATTGATTCGCTTCTATAACAAAATGTCAATAAACAAGTTTAAAGATAAAGAAAAATAGTACATAATGGATTATTATAATATCAAGGAAGACTTGAATTAAAATAACCCCTGGGAATGAGGTGATCGCCACTATGACGGTTTTTTTTTATAGGATAAGGGTGACAAACGAGCACACAGTCCACCTGATGGTAAGTGGTTGCTGCGGCCCATAGACATCTACATCTATCTATTACAAATCAAAATGTAGATGCATTGTCACCCGTGAGGACTAAGATGGAATGCCTCATTTCCAGTAAAAAGGGCCTCCGACCACCTGCACTCACCAAGCGAAACGCAGAGGTAAACCTCTACTTCACGCTGGTTTTCTGTGATGTCGTGGTACCACCCCGGTTCGGGCCGACCCATCCGTGCGACAGCAAAAGCTGCCGCGTGGCTCTACCACTGTTAAAATATATGGTCCTATAAAAATTCATATAAAATTGTACAAAATTATTGTACAGTTATACAAGATTGTTATGCAATATACGCCCAAATTTACAGAGAAGGTTCAGAATAGTACAGGGGAATGGTGAAAAAAAAATCTTAAACATTCTATACCGGAAGGAAGTTTTAGCTTAGAATATTTATTTCATTAAACTTTATGCCAATTAATTGCTCCTCAATCCGTAATTACTCACGTCTATTGCTATTATTTAATTTATATGAAGTAAAGATAAACAATTTTCGAAAATTTTATTTTGCTATAAAACATAAAATATCTAGTTTTTAAATTAAGCTTTATGCCAATTAATTGCTCCTTAAATGCTCTCTTAGAATCCGTAATTGTTTCACGTCTATTGCTATTAATTAATTTATAATAATTTTTTTTTGCTTAAAGAATTGCTCACATTTGCTATGTTAATTAAAAAACAAAAATAGTTTTGCAATTATAATATATATTTTTTTTTATAGAAGAGGGGGCAAACGAGCATGAGCATGTACTGTCTCGCTCTGCTGAGCACGCCAAGCTTTTTAGAGGCCAATTTGGCCTACCCTTCCAAGTGACCACAAAACTGCACACTATTCGATATGTCGACGCCAAGGATTCCGATACTAGCTGAGGCAGCAAGGGGAGTGCCTTGAAACTGAGGAGATACGACAAAGGGGTTCTTTTTAGCGGTAAACGCGCAAACTTGTGTCTTCTGGGGATTGAACTGGACTAGATTTAGTCGGCCCCAATCCGAGACTTTGTTAAGCAAAGACTCGACTTCAGACACAAGTTTGTCCCGGTACTCAGCGACGTTTTCCCGAGAAATATTGGCACGGCCGGTATATAAGGCATCACCAGTGCTGTCGTCCGCATAGCAATGAATGCTACCAGTTAGCAACATATCATTGATATGCAGGAGAAACAGCGTTGGTGATAGCACGCAGCCTTGTGGAACACCAGCGTTAATAGGCTTGAAATCAGAGCATGCACCGTCTACTACGACCTTGATACTCCCATCAGCAAGGAAACTGGTGATCCATTTGCACAATTTCTCGGGAAGCCCATAGGAAGGAAGCTTCGAAAGAAGCGCTTTGTGCCAGACCCGATCGAAGGCCTTCGCTATGTCCAAACTAACGGCCAATGCTTCCCCCTTGGACTCTACTGCCTCCGCCCATCTATGAGTCAGATAGACTAGAAGATCACCAACTGATCGACCTCGAAGAAAACCGTACTGGCGGTCACTAATCAGCTGGTGATCCTCAAGGTACCTCATAAGCTGGCAGTTTATAATGGATTCCATTATTTTGGAGAACAAGGAGGTGATGGTAATAGGCCTGTAGTTGGACGGGTCTGAGCGGTCGCCTTTTTTAGGGATCGGGTGGACCAAAGCTGTCTTCCATGAATTCGGGACTACGCCTTGGGAGTAGGAGTACCGGAAAAAACGCATTAAAACCGGTGCCAACTCCGGAGCACACGTCTTCAGCACAATGGGAGGGACTCCATCGGGCCCACTCGACTTGCTGACGTCCAGGGAGAAGAGTGATTTGCGAACCGAGCGCTGTGTAAGCCGCACATCCGGCATGGAGCACTCACATCGCGGGATGGTCGGCGGTGTATTCCCCCCGTCATCTAGAGTCGAGTTGGACGCAAAAAGAGAGCTCAACAGATCGGCTTTCTCCTTTGCGGAATGGGCCAGTGAGTCGTCTTCCCTGTGCAGAGATGGAAGAGATGGCTGACAGAAGTTCCCTTGGACAGCCTTGGCGAGAGACCAGAATGCACGGGTTCCTGAAGGAAGGCGAACTGGCTTCTCGCCAATTCTGCCGATGTGCTCAGACCTTGCCTTGGCAATGACGCCTTTGAAGGACCTGGAGGCGGAATTATACTTCTTTTTAAGTGCGCTGGTGTTTACATCCCGAGACTTTGATGCGTCAGCCCAGGCCCGGTAGCACTCCTGCTTATAGCGTGATGCTATTTTACAGAAGCGACCAAACCATGGCTGGGATCTGCCTCCGATGGGCACCACAGAGGATGGAATAAAAAGTTCCATACTCTGAAGTACCACATCAGCAACAGAATCGGCAACAACGCTGGGATCTTCCGGCGAGAAGTAAACCCGCCCCCAAGGGTAGGATGCAAAAAAAGACCGCATCCCGTCCCAATCAGCTGACCTATAGTGCCAAACACGGCGGCAAGCTGCAGATCGCGATTGCGATTGGAGCGTGAGTGGCACCATACTCCGGATCAGACAATGGTCCGAAGAGCCCAGAGGGGCATCGACGGAGACCTGATATCCGTCCGGATGAGAGGTCAGCAGAAGGTCCAACAGGGAAGGTACATGGTCTTCCACATCTGGGATCCGCGTAGGCGAAGTAACCAGTTGTGTTAGACCATATGACAAAGCAAAGTCATAGATACCCGCCCGCACAGATACATACCCGCATGATCGGTTAAACGAGAACCAAGCCATTCAGCGTGGTGGGCGTTAAAATCACCGAGTATCACGATCTCTGCGGATAGGAACTGTTGTAGCACGGAGACTGCAGCCATTTGGACGTGGTCGATGAGTCGGTCTATGTCGGCATTACCGCTATGGGACCTATAGAGGCACCCGTAGACACGGGGGTGGTCGTCGCTGTCTACGCGCAGCCATAGGATGGACAGGTCCGTACCTTCAAGACTGACGAGGCGTCGAAAACAGATGTCCTCTCTGACGTATACGCAAACTCCAGCCCGGGGCACAAAGGAGTGTTCCAATTTGTACCCCGGGTAGGAGAGATATGAAGTATTAGCCGGAGAGGACACCTGAGTCTCGGTTAAAAAGAGCAAGGCCGGCTTCGCCGCCCCTGATGTTGCAAAAATTCACGGATAGCGTGACAGAGGTCGCCTTGGTTGCATTGCTTCGCTTGCCCCGAGCAGCATTAGTCGAGCGCGAGCGGAATTTTGCCCCCCCCCCCCCCCCAGAATACGCGGGGCAGCCTGAGCACCCACGCTCAGGAGTGAAGTAGTTTGGTCGTGGATGCTTAGCGAGGGATTCTCCAGGGGTGCTGGTACCCTCCTGGGGTAGTCTCTTATTTAATTCCACTACCATGTTGATGGGGGGGGGGGATTGGGCCTCCGGCCACCTGCACTCACCAAGCGCAACGCAGAGGTAAACCTCTACTTCACGCTGGTATTCTGTGAGGTCGTGGTACCACCCCGGTTCGAGCTGGCCCATCCGTGCGACAGCAAAAGCTACCGCTTAGCTCTACCACTGTTCATTCAACGCAAATTCTTCATCAAAATAGGTCGTTTTTGCGTCAAATCGCGATAATGTGGATCTTCATAATTAAACTATTCTGGATATTGTTGGACCAGTGATATCAATAGTTCTTCATTCATTTTTATTTAAACAAAAAGATTCTTACGAAAACGAAATAGAAATTAATAAAAATACATTGGCGCGCATCCGCTTCTCCGCGTCGACTAAGGCGCGCCGAGTTGAATCGAATCGCACCGGCCAAGAAATTTGCCTGTCAAGCAATTCGCACGGTCGAATCAATCGGCGCGCCGCGGCTCGTCCCTAATGGACGCAGTTTCATAGTAAATATATAGGAGGCGACTTTCTGCGATTCGATTCGACTCGGCTCGGCGAGCCTAGTGGACGCTTAGCCTTACATTGTAGAACGGCCAGTTTCTGGGAAACTGTACGTAACTCAACAAATGAATTAATTCAGGTCGTTGCTCAGGTGTCTCATGACAATATATTTTATAAACACTGCCAGGGGATGAATCGGACGCTATAGGTTAATATATAATTAATTTAAGTATAGTATTTTAACTTACAATATAAAGGTTTGTAGCTGTATGTGTTTAAAATACGTATATAATTCATTGCCTTAAATTAAAAAATGTACTAGATATAAATGTGTTGATTTCTTAATAAATAAGCATTATTATTATTATTTTAACTGATTGTGTTTCCTAAATATCTAACGCCTACTATTTTACTAAGCACACATACATTCGTAAGGGTCGCTCGGTTACAAATTTAGGTACATTGTCGAGCATCTTCCTGCCTTTCCCTTCCGTTAACCATTACACCGCTAGGTATCTCCGACCGGCCGATAACAGACAGTGACCACATTACGTACAAGTGTGCTATTTTTAAATTTTCGTAGGTAGTATCGCTTCGTTACCAATGAGGGAATGAAAATATTCGAACCGCGAATACTATGAAACTATGTAATTGTGCGAAGTTACATTTTAAGGAATGAAAGTTTACATGGTGCGCAAAGATTATAAACAAAGTGAGTCTTTACCACGACAATGGAAGAACAATTGACAACTTATCAAACTATTCAAGTGCAGTAAGCGATAATTTAATTTAAATAGTAAATATGAAGAGATGGATTACGCATGGTGGCTCTAGCAAAATAATTGCTGCATTCACGGAAGTTAAGTGCTCAAGCACAGGTTATAAGTGTAAAAAATAATTAAAGAAAACGTCTCGTCTATGCATGGAGAGAAACGGATTCTATTTTGAGTACCAATACTAGTTATTGAGACTATTTATTCTTATTTCTTAAATACGCCATAATAATGACAGTCATCGGTTACCTCATTCATAAGCAAAAATATTTTTTTAATTTTATTTATTATGACGATCCTATGCCCTTTAAGTGTGGAAGTAAAATTGGTATCATAATTTGCATCGTATAGTTATTAACTTAAGCATTAGTAGTGAGCGTGTCACTAAGAAAGTAAACAGTAGGCAAAAACTGTGAATTGAATCGCACACACAAGAGCGCGTGTACGTCAACCCCGTTTTACTACAAAACTATAACTACCTTCAAAGGCACCGATATGTTGCGTGATGCCACCGAACTCTTGATCAACTACGGAAGTGTTTCTCAATGCATCCAAAAGTGTGGTCTTGCCGTGGTCCACGTGGCCCATGACGCAAACTACCGGCGGCCGGGGTCGAAGCGCCTCGGGCGGGGCTGGAGGCGCCGGAACTGCGTCCTTGTTCTACACACATGAAGTGACAGAGATAGCATGAGTATGTTATTTGTTTTTGTGTAGAAAATAAATCAACAGTTTTTTTTCTTTGGTCATGGACTCGTACGGTTATACTTTTTCCGTTACCGTTACAGCCTATTAAAGTCCACTGCTGAACATAGGCGGGGATATTTGCTATAGTTGCCACGCTTGGCAAGCGGGTTGGCAACAGTAGCTTATTTTTAATCGTTATTAGGAAATACGCTGTGCCCATCTCTGGATTTGTTTCTCTCTGTAGCCTCATACGACGCCCACGCGATGATACGAGATAGTGGATATATTCTAACTCATCAACACTACACGGCTTTTGCCAGTGTCAAATAATAAGGAATTATACATTGAGTTATATGTACTACGTACTAGAGAAGCCATTCTAAACAAAAAATGTGTACTACTCGTCGCGCATGCGCAGTAGATTTAAGCGCGTTGCGTCTGCGCGGTCAGTTTTTAATTTAAAATTTAATTTGAAATCTTGTATTATTATGCGCCGCTCCACACTTCATGTATATTGAAACCACAGATTAACTAGTAGATTGAAACCATACTAAATGACACACTGTACAGATTGCAGTACAGTTCAGTTGAACATAGTGTATGTTCGAAAAGCGAAATCTAGTACGTAGTACATATATATCGATGGAATTATGCATTAAAATATTAATATGTTTATAACCTTCTTCACAATATTCCGATGCGTCACAATGCGGATTTTTCGGGAGATTTTGATGACAACTTAAACCAGCGGACAGTCGATGACGACAGTAACTCAAGTTCTTAAGCGAACAATATAACTTGAGGTTTTTATCAACATCGAAGCTATATTTCAAACCATTATTTAAACGATATAAGAGAAGCAACAATCCGTCGACGGTTAGGTTACCGCCAAAACTCTCGGCTCGGTCTTATATATTAAAAACCAGTTAGTGACATTAGTTTTTATTCAAAACCTTCCATAGTATTTATCCTAAAAACTGACAAGAAATTTAAATATTTGAAATTCGTATATTTGAAAATTTATATATGACTAGCTGTTCCCCGCGACTTCGCCCTCGTTAATTTAGGGTTTTAATTATGCTGCGCGGAACCCTAATTATTTTTCTCAAATATAAGTAGCCTAAGTTACTCTTTATAACATCAGCTATCTGCCAGTGAAAGTCCCGTCGAAATCGGTCCAGCCGTTTCGGAGATTAGCCCGAAGAAATGTATAGATAATGGCCGTGTAGTGGCGGTTAAGAATATCCACTACCCCATATCTTCCCGTGGGTGTCGTAAAAGGCGACAAAGGGAAACAGGCAGGATATGGGCAGCAGCATCTTCCTGATAACAACAAAAATGCAATTAAAAAAAACTGCGGTTGCCAACCCGCTCGCCAAGAGTGGCAACTATGGCAAATACGGGGGTATTATGAATGTAACTAAAAGACGGCCCCCAGTCCCCGGCGGCCCCGCTATTCCTGGCTACGGTGGCGACCATGGTAACGGCGGGGCAGGGGGTGCTAAGAATCTCCGGTGGAGGTTCGATTGCCACCTAAGACGACTCGACCTGGCAACATACAACGCACACACCCTGAGGACTGACGAGAAGATTGTGGAGCTGGAAGAAGAGATAGACAAGTTTCGCTGGCATATTATAGGATTATCCGAAGTCCGAAGAGAGGGGGAGGACACGGTAATCCTCGAATCCGGCAACTTGCTCTATCATCGGGAGGGCGACCATCTGTCCCAAGGAGGTATCGGATTTATCGTCCACAAGTCTCTCGTTAACAACGTTGTAAAGATTGAGAGTGTGTCGACGAGGGTTGCGTACCTTATACTCAGAAGCACCAAACAGTATTCGCTGAAGCTCATACAGGTTTACGCACCAACCTCGGCACACCCCGATGAGGAGGTGGAGAAAATGTATAAGGATATCTCTAGAGCCATGCATTCCTCCAAAACCCAATAGACGGTGTTAATGGGAGACTTCAATGCAAAACTAGGCACAAGAGAGAACGGTGAGCTGAAAGTAGGGAAATTTGGAATAGGGCAACGGAACCCAAGGGCCAGCAGCTGGCCGACTTCATGGAGAAAGAGGGACTCTATGATGAACTCTTTCTTCCAGAAGCGGCCCCACAGGAAGAGGACCTGGTCGAGCCCCAACGGTTCGACAAAAAATGAGATTGCCTTCATTATGACGACCAGACGACAACTGTTCAGTGGTGTCTCCGTGATCGCGAGGGTGAAAACTGGTAGCGATCACCGAATGGTTAGAGGCACACTGAACCTAAACGTTAAGTTGGAGAAGTCTCGTCTAATGAAGTCAACGCTTCGTCCCCCTCGTGCTCTGTTCCAAAGTCCCGAAACCTTTTAGCTCGAGTTACAAAACCGTTTTCAGTGCCTAGAAGACTGCAATGAAGTGGACGATATGAATGACAAGCTCGTGGAAACTGTCCATGCGGTCGGAGCTAAGTTCTGCAAGACCCGCCGCAGAAGAACACAAAAACTCTCCGATCACACTCTTAATCTCATGGCTGTTAGACGGGAAATAAAGCTACATTCTTCAACAGATTTGACAGCATACAGGCAACTGAACAGACAGATCTCCAAATGCATGCGGCGAGACTTACGCAACTTCAATACAGCTTGTATTGAAGACGCGATCGAGCGAAACCAAGTCTCCAAAGTCTTTGCCAGAGATCTGTCTGAAAGAGCCAACTGTCAAAGCTGAAGACCGAGTGTGGGAGCATCGTTTCCGGGACATCTGAGATTTTGAGTGAGATTGAGAGGTTCTATGGGCAGCTGTACACGTCATCGTTGGATCCACACGCAAGTGTGAGTAACGATGCAAGGGCGAGTCTTATCCGACACTATTCCGAAGATATCCCGGACGTCAGTCTGAGCGAGATTAGAATGGCTCTCCAGCACCATAAAAACGGAAAGTCCCCGGGCGAGGATGGAATTACAGCGGAGCTTCTGAAAGCGGGTGAAAAACCGGTACTTGAAGTCCTTCAGAAGCTCTTTAATTCCATCCTCCATGGTGGCATTACACCGGAGGCGTGGAGCAGAAGTGTGGTGGTCTTAGCTGAAGTGTGGTGGTCTTAGCTGAAGTGGTGGGCTTGGCAGAAGTGTGGTGGAAGAAAGGCGACAACGCTCTCTTTAGGAACTACAGACCGATTTCCCTTCTGAGCCGCGTCTACGTGCTGTTTGCGAGTCATTACGAATCGTCTCGCGCGCAGACTTGACAACTTCCAGCCTCCCGAACAAGCCGGTTTCCAAAAGGGCTTTAGCACCATAGACCACATACGTACCCTTCGGCAAGTTGTACAGAAGTCCGAGGAGTACAATTTGCCACTATGTCTGGCGTATGTGGACTATGAGAAAGCCTTTGATTCCGTCGAAATTTGGGCGGTGCTGCAGTCCCTTCAGCGGTGCAAAGATGACTGTCGGTATATCGAAGTGCTGAAGTTCTTGTACAGTAGGGCTACGATGGCTATCCGAGTACAGAACCAGAGTACGAAACCTATCCAATTGCAGAGAGGTGTAAGACAGGGTGATGTTATATCCCCGAAACTATTCACCGCTGCAAGACGTTTTCAAGCTTCTGGACTGGAAATGATACGGTATTAACATCAATGGAGAGTATATTACCCACCTTCGATTTGCAGACGATATAGTCCTTATGGCAGAATCGCTGCAGGACCTAAGCACCATGCTCAATGACCTCAATAGTGTCTCCCAACGGATAGGTCTTAAGATGAACATGGACAAAACAAAGATCATGTTTAATGTCCATGTCACACCTATGCCAGTAGTTGTTGGGAGCACTAAGCTCGAAGTTGTTGACGAGTATGTTTACCTGGGCCAAATAGTCCGACTAGGTAAGTCTAACTTGGACCGAGAGGTCAATCGACGGATTCAACTCGGCTGGGCAGCGTTCGGGAAACTACGACACATCTTCTCGTCAGACATACCTCAAAACCTTAAAACGAAATTGTACAACCAGTGTGTATTGCCAGTGATGACTTACAGATCTGAGACGTGGTCCTTCACTGCTGGCCGTATGAGGAAGCTCAAGGTCGCTCAGCGAGCTATGGAGAGGGCTATGCTCGGGCTTTCTCTGCGTGGTAAACTTAGAAATGAGGATATCCGCAGTAGAACCAGAGTAACCGACATACCCCAACGGATTAGTAAGCTGAAGTGGCAGTGGGCCGGCTATATAGCTCGAAGAACCGACAACCGATGGGGAAGAAAGGTTCTAGAGTGGCAGCGTCGTACCGGTAGGCGAAGTGTAGGGCGACCCCCCCACGAGATGGAGTGACGATCTGGTGAGACATGCAGGAAGTCGATGGATGCAGGTGGCTCAGGACCGTGCTTTGTGGCATTCCTTGGGGGAGGCCTATGTTCAGCAGTGGACTTATGAAAGGCTGTAATGAATAGATAATGAAAACTATGCCTTGATTTAAGTTTCGTAGTCTCCTGTAAAACTAAGCTACAATTATTACTAGGTTTTATAATGAGACAACGGAGGTTTTAACGGGCTTAGTGACGACAAGGCTGGCAACGCATCTGCAATTTCCCCCAAACTTACCAAAAAAAAACATTATCTTGGGGACTTTGGCAGGAACTTGACCTGCGACGGATTGCTGCTCCTGTATTATTGTTTAAATAATGGTTTGAAGTGGATTTTGATATATAAAAGAAGTGCGAATTTGTGTTTAAAGTATGTACATATAAACTATTACTGGAAACTGTGATCTAAGTGTTCCGATGGTGATGTGAACCTAAAGATAATGTGTCTACTTAAGCGCCTTGAGATACTGTCGCCATAAACTCTTTGCTGGCTCAAGCTGCCGTCAATATCTCCCAAATACTTCACAATGTAACACATCAACATATTGTGAACAAGTGTACTAAAAAATATACTTACTTATTACTGGCAAAAGTACAATCCATTACCAATGAAAGAACATTATCTTGGCCACTTTCGACAAAAGCAGTATCTTCTGAATTCATTCAATCTAACCTACTGGTGCCTTCGATTAAATCACAATAAAATATGTTCGACATTGTTTTACACTTGTATCACTAATATCTTGGCAACAACTTAGGGTAATATTCGGAAGTTGTGACCCTGATCGAAATAGCCCAAGGGAACATCAGTTACAATAATTATATACCATACCTCCTTTTCCTCAACAACTTCATCAGGTCTCGGCACAAGCTTGAACCGGCATCCTGATATCTTCACAATTTCCCTCACGATCTGCGGATTGTGTATCACCGTGTCCCGTGTGTACACAGTGTCAGAGTTCTTGTCGGCAAACTCTAGCGTTTTGAATACATGCTCTAAAAGGATCAGAAATGAGGATGATTTAATTAACAAGAACTGTGAAGAATAGATGTCTATATTATTAAAAAAAAAACCTAACACTAGGACTTTCTCCTGTATCGTGGATGCAATTTACATACATGATTTGCACAATAACAAACATCTAGACTCGGAACAATCATTTGTATGCTATAAAATACTTGTTCAATTCGAACCCGCAGCCCTTAGCGCCGCAACTCAATGCTAGACCAGTGCACCACGGAGACGTCAAATTTAACAGTCAGTAACTTTTTTTGCAACTCAATTTACCTCAAAAAATTTACTGTTTTTTATATTATGAGGGTGACAAACGAGCACAGAGTCCACCTGATGGTAAGTGGTTGCTGTGGCCCATAGACATCTACATCTATCTTCGTTAATTACTGCAAAATATTCCTCAATATGAGTAGAATAGTTTCTTTTTTTTTAAATAACCTCCACACTAGGATTTTCTCCTGTACCGTGGAGTAGTTTACATACATTAATTGCACAAGGACAAACATCCAGACCCGGAACAATTATTTGTAGGCTATACAAATACTTGTACCGTGTGGGATTCGAACCAGGGCACTTAACGTTGCGACCCAATTGATAAGCCACTGTGCCACAGAGGCGTCAAAGCTTCAATAGTTACCAATAAAATAAAATAATTTTTATACAATATAGATTATTACATAATATTTATTGAAAGTCATTTTTTATTTACCACTGGTCCTGGGAAGAACCAGCAAGAAACCCAGCGGGACTTTTTTTTTTTTAAATATTTCACTTTACAATAATTTTGTTTGTACTGTGAATTTCTTAATGATATGATTTAAAGTGTACATTTTCCTCATTTTCTATCGACTTCAAAAAGGAGACGGTACTCAATTCGACTGTATGTTTTTTTTATGTGTTACCTCATAACTTTTTACTGGGTGAACCAATTTCGATGATTCTTTTTTTATTTGAAAGCTGGTCCTTCACATATGGTCCAATAAATATTTGATCAAGGTTTGATCAATAGTTTTCGAGTTATTCTTAGTAATTTATAATAAATTTGGTGTACAAAATTTTTAATTTTAAATTATCATTAATTTGTCAGTTATAACTGAACAAACTGATATGGATTTTTGTTTTATTATTCCCGCTGCTGATATGACCCCCCCCCCCCCTTTCGCCTCGTGCCCGCTTGATGTTGAGTTTCAGAACATGGTGTATATGTTATATATATTCCATAATATGTTAATAGATAATACCCAGGCAAAGCAAATCACTAGTTTTCAATAATCAACTTAATAATAATATTGTTTACTTCATTAGAATAAATATAATGAAAAAGCTTGACTTCAGCAGAGGCTACATATTACCCAAAAATTTGCTATCAGTTCTATGAATACTGTACTTAGGTATAGTAAGTTTAGGTTTATCACATGTTAAATTTATACAACTGAAAGTCCTGGATGAAAAACAGATTGTGACAAAACCCTGGTCCAAACCAGGAGCTGAAGACAGTTCTTACCTACATCCTTCTTCAGCACATTCGCAACATCCAGTACTGTCATGTTTCGCCATATTCCAACTACTTCTGTGCCACCTTTAGAGTACCGTATCACCCGTCTTCCAAGGTTTTCTACAGCCTAAGCAAAAGAAAGAGAATTTAAAAATTAGCAAGTGCTGTTCATTTATCAGTCTCTTTTGACATGATGTATAGATATATGAATATATTTAACAGATAGACCCACATGAAAGAAGGTAGGAAGACAAAGCAGTGCATTGCAGGAGTTTGGGCGATGTCAGATGAATAGTTGATTTTTACTTAAGTGTGAGAGTGACTCATAAGCAGCATCATAAGCAGACATTTTGATTTGATATTCATATTATCTATAATTTTATTAGAAAAATAATTATTCCAGTAGCTAAAATATATTCAACTGTCTAATTGATCACAAATCAAATATTTTTATGGAAAAATTAATAAAATTACTAAGAGGGATATAAAATATGAGATTTGTTTTATGGCACAGTGAACTACACATCACATGTATATAAGCAGAAGCAATAATAGAAACAAATAATTTAAAATTGCTGCTCAATTTGCACCCACTCTCAATTTTCAAAATCCCAAATTACAGTTAGTTTGATGACCGAATAAATACCTAGTAATATTTCCCACAAAACCACTCAATATATTTTACCTCGTAAAGTAGGATACAGCTCACTTTAAATCTTTTGATTTCTACAATCAAATTGTAATATACGTACTGCTATATGCCAGTCTAAAGTACCTAGTCAGGTCATAAATTCTGTCACATGTTTAATATAAAATAATAGAAAAAAGTTTATTCATTATGTAACCATTTATATACCAAAATGAACTTAACAAAACATAGATTCTTATGACACTAAAGTTTATTCAAAATGACCTCCATGATTTTGAATACAGGCCTTGAATCTGCGCGGCCAGTCGTCTATCGCAGCACGAACAAGGTTCATGTCAATATCGGCGGCTGCCTTAATCAAGTATGTCTTGAGTGACTCCAAATTGGGATGAGGCTTTGAGCACACCTTTTCCTCCAAGTGTTGCCATATCTTGTAATCTAACGGATTCAAATCTGGACTGGAGGAGGGCCAGTCTTCGTGCCGGATGAAGTCGATTTCACGTGCCGCCAGCCAGCCTTGTGTGCTCTTCGCTCTATGAGCTGGCACCGAATCTTGTTGGAATACCCAGTGCCTGTTATTGAACATGGTATGAGAAACAGGTTCCACAAGGTTCGTCAGGACTGTATTTTGATATACAACTGCATTCGTTTTTACACCTTTCTCACAAAAATGTACCTCTGTTAAGCCCCAATAAGAAACTCCCAACCATACCATGAGCGAGGATGGAAAATGACCTTGTTGGACACGCGGAATACGGTTGCTCGCTTCTTCACTACTGTGTGCGTACACCTTATCATTTTGTTTGCTGTAGCTCTCTTCTACGGTAAAAATCTTTTCATCCGAAAAAAAAATTCCCAATATTTTTTTCCCATGTACCGCTTCAACAAAGCGCAGCATCTCTTCAGTCTCAGGTCCATTAGACGAGCATTCAAACGCTGTCCTGTTTTTCTTCGATATGCCCGAAGCCCTAAGTCTTCATTTAACACCCTTTTCACCGTGGTTCTGCTTAACCCCATCTGAAGGGCCAACAGTTTCTGCTTACATTTGGGATATCTTTGAATTCGCGCCTTCACAGCTTTTGTCACTGCTGGAGTCCTAACAGACCGAGGGCAACCACTTCTTGACCTGTCATCTACACTAGTGTCTTCATTGTATCGTTTGATGGTACGATAAACAAATCTTTTGGTTATATTCAAATTTTTTAGTATGTCAAAAATTTGAATTGGCGCATAACCGCAACGATGCAACGCAATAACTGCAACATGGTCTTCTTTAAGCGTCCACTCCATATTTAAAAATGAGTAAAATGCTAAAAAGTATACAGTTTTATTTTCATGAACAATTTGAAATTCGAATTCAATAAACTTTTTTGTGGCCAGCATTCTAAAAGAAAAGTTTTTACTGTGTGACAATACTTATGACCTGACTAGGTATTTATAGAGCCAGTATAATTACAGCATGTGTATCCGTAGCCTTCTTTCTTTGAAGCTTTCACATTTTCTACCTAAGAGTTGGTCAAAATGGGTACTACCATTTTAACATCATCTTAGTATGTAGGAATTACATCAGATTGTTTGTATATGATGAACACCTAAACTACTGAACTTATTTCAATGAAATTTTGCACACTGTGCAGTTTGGTCCGACTTGAAAGATAGGGTAATTTTTATCCCGATCAACATTTTAAATAGCGAATTTAAGGATTTTTTTATTGGACAAAGGGTCGTTGGATAAGGCAGAACAACGTCTGCCTAGCCAGCTAGTATCAGTATTCAATCAATTTAGCTGCAAAATAAGTTTCACAGGCTTACCTTTTCTTCCGGAGATTTTCTTTTTTTATTGTAAACTGCTGATATAGATATACACCGAACTTTGTAATGTATATCGTTTACTATACGATTTTTGCTTTCTAGTAATTGGACTAAGCACTCGTTTTTAATTTGTCTTAAATGTAACCTAAAAATATATTATACTATGTATAAGTATATAAATCATATATTATATATAGATCATTGCATTATTACTAATTATGAAATAATTTATTTTCAAATTGCAAAACATTGTAAAGAAAGTAACATTTCGTTAATATCATAACTTACCGTTTAAAAAAAATACTTCTGTACATATTGTGTAGTAACATTTATTGATAATCTAAAGGTATAAACGGTGTCCACAATAAATACCTATGTAAGAAAAATAAATAAGTTCATTTATTGTAATATTTTTCTACTTTTTATAATAATAAACCAAAACATAACCTCTCTCAGTTCAATTCATAGATAATATACCACAGACTACTAAGAGGATACTGCGCATATAATATACCATAGACATAGAATATTACTCCCGATTACACACCAGCCTTTGTGTTTGGAGTTTTTACATAGGTAATAAAAAATACTGACGTATTTTAAATTGCACATCTCAAAAATATTAATTATTTAAACTACACCCATGTAGTTTAGAAATAAAAAATAGTTAAAAATCGCTCCCCTTATAACGTCGATATTACTTGAAATAATTAAAATTGGGTACTTTTTGCAATATAAAAAAACTGTAACTTGCTTGAAAATAATTGCACCATTGTTTAAAATGCATTAAATGTCATAATACGCTAAAAATTTACTAAAACCAAATTTTATAAGTGTCGATTAGTTGCAATCGAAACTTATCAACTTCCGATTACTTTATATTTACATTATACTCTATCTTCTTTTTATGAAAGAATATAAACATAAAGCATGATGAAGCCTCATAAACAAAACATATCGGTGTTTAAACGGAGCAATCATATTTGATTGATTCCTACAAGTTTCCTTACTTAAATTATTAAGTTTACATTCATTTTTAAGTCGAATGTTAAAATAAACTTCTATAATGTAATCAATTATTAATTATTAAATATTTGTAATTATCAAAAGTAATACTTTTATAAAAAACAAAGCAGTCATTATGTACTCCGTGACCCCGTTTTTTATTTTATAAAATGTTTTGATGGGGAAATGTTTTGATGGACCTAATTAAATATCTACCTATTTAAATTAACAATATGTTAAAAAAGAAATTCCGAGAACTGTCCATGGCAGTAAATATTTTTCTCCAAAGATCATAGCTCGAAAATACAACTTTTCGACCTAATTCTTGGGGGGCTTTATTAAGTTTATCGGTAGAGTCACCTGGGATTTTATACATTTGAATTAAAATCCAACAAAAGGCAGGTTCCGCTTTTTCCCAGGAACACGTTATATGAATATTTTTTAATTATTTTAGAACTATCATGGTAAAAATTCAGTTAATTTTTGAAGTTCTTGGACGAAACAATTTTTTTTAAATCTTTTACAGCTTCCTTAACAATCCTTTTTCGATAACACTTGTAAGTAAAATATACATCACTAGCTAATCCTACACAATGAAAAATCAAAATTAGTCACGCGTTTTAGCACAAAGAAGTTGGCTTGGAAGTATGACTGGCCAAATTAATGAATAGGTGCACATAATTGCTCACTAAATGCTCAATTCAAATCTGCAATTGCTCACATTATTAATTTATTATTTAAATAGTTATTAATAATTTAAAATACAGAATTGTTTTTGTCTATTATACTTAAAACCAATAAACTTTTTTTTAAATGAATAACTGCCCATAATTGCTCACAAAATGCTTAATTTAAATCCGCAAATACTCACACTATTAATCAATTATTTAATTATTTATTAATAATTTGAAATAAAAAATTGTTTTTCCTAAACCACTCAGATTAATGAATAAGTGCTCATAATTGCTCACTAAATGCTCAATTCAAATCTGCAATTTCTCACATTATTAATTCATTATTTAAATAGTTATTAATAATTTAAAATACAGAATAGTTTTTGTCTATTATACTTAAAACCAATAAACCAATTTTAAAATGAATAAGTGCTCATAATTGCTCACAAAATTCTTAATTGAAATCCGCAATTGTTCACACTATAAATTAATTAATTAATTACTTATTAATAATTTAAAATACAAAATTGTTTTTTCCTAAACCACTAAGATTAATGAATAAGTGCTCATGATTGCTCACTAAATTATCAATTCAAATCTGCAATTGTTCATATTATTAATTTATTATTTAAATAGTTATGAATAATTTAAAATACAGAATTGGTTTTGTCTATTCTAATTAAAAACCAATAAACTTTTTTTTAAATGAATAACTGCCCATAATTGCTAACAAAATGCTAAATTTAAATCCACAAATGCTCACAGTATTAGTTAATTATTTAATTATTTATTAATAATTTAAAATACAAAATTGTTTTTTCCTACACCGATCGTAAGGGAAGTCGGCAAATTGGATCCGTAGCTTGGGAATAAGGATTGGCTGTGAGAACCGGGGCGTGTTAGGTTTGGACGGGAAGCGGATGTGGTCGGTGCCGGGCTTTAGGAGATTTTGACAACAGCTTAACCCAGCCGAAAAATGATGACGATAATATCTCATGAATCCTAAGCGGATAAAAAAACCTGAGCTTTATTCGATTTTCACCATTGAAACACTTTAATGAGGACTTCATATTGAGGCATTGTCAAGAAGACCGCCGTTTATTCTGCTGTGTATGCGGTAAAAAAGGTAAGGCTGTAAGACGTGGATATAGCTAAATTGGTTTAATTCAACTATTTTCAAAGTGTGAGAGATATTGAAAATATATTTATAGCACAGAAAAAAGTTGAACGTGCTTTTTTAAAATATTATGAACGTGCTTTTTGATCCTGCTGCTATTCAACAGGGAGAATATTAGACGGAGCTTACTTACCTATATCCAAGGCGACTGGTCCCTCAGGATTCGGTCAGGTCGTATGTGGTTGTGTGGTGCAAGGGAAATAAGGTGCTGTAATGTGTATTGTTATTCCTTATATATGTTATTCCTTGTATATGTTATTCCTTTTAAAGGGTCTTTGAGTAAGTTACTTTTACTTTACTTAAAGACCATTTAAAAGGAATAAACATCTTAACTGTTGCATCACAATTCGTTTTGGGCAATATTATTTAGATAAGGAACCATTTAATTACCTTTGACACAAGTGGCCAAATTAATAATTTTGTATAACCGACTTCAATATAAATTATTAAATAACTCAAAAACTAACTGTTAGACCTAGATATATGATCTATTTATATGGGACCACATGAAAAGTACCAGCTATCAATTAAAAAAAGAAATATCAAAATCGGTTCATCTAGAAAAAAGTCATGAGGTAATACACTTTAAAAATAATACAGTCGATTTAAGTACTTCCTCTTAAAGTCCTTCCTTCCTTAAATAAAAAATCTTTCTTAAAGTCAATTAAAAATGCATAATGCCCATACGCGCAATAAATCTAAACTTACTGTTCCAAAATAAAATTTGAATTAAAAATTAAACGAAATATTAATTAAGAATGTCACTCTTTCTAATGGGGTGCCGTCCAACACTTCGCCTATTGATACGAGGCTGCCACTCAAGAACTTTTATTTCCCATCGGTTGTCAGTTCTTCGAGTTATATGGCCGGCCCATTGTCACTTCAGCTTAAAAATCCGTTGAGCTATGTCGGTTACTGTGGTTCTACTGCGAATATCCTCATTTCTAAATTTGTCACGCAGAGAAACCCCATAGAACATAGTCATATAGCTCCATAGCTCGCTGAGCGATCTTGAGCTTCCTCATACGGCCTGCAGTGAAGGACCACATAATATATCAAGGAATATCAACCGATACATATATAATGAAATATATAGATTCAATGTATTTATAAAAATGCTTAGAGTATTTATAAACTATAGAGCACGTGTAAGCAAGTCAGAACTGTAAATACGCGTTAAAACAGTCTCGAAAAGGCCAGGATGACGTTGTTAGTCACGAAAGGTGTCACGCGCGTTAATCATTTCTCTCGACGATATTTAATAGAATTTTTAGTTACCATGGTGAAATGTGCAGTGACCAGCTGCAAAAACGATTCACGGAAGCAAAATAAGAAGAAATTGACATTTCTTTTCATCGGTTGTAATATTTCGATAAGAAAACACAGATTTAAAAAAAAATTACTTAGGGCGTCAAGGATGTCGCGGGAGGTGCGCGGCGGGAGCGTCACAACACATGCCGCACGCCTCGTGCTTCGGGTTTTCCCCGAATTAGAGCTAGTGTTGTGTCAGTTTTTTTTAAATTCCCGTCAAAGCTCAAATTTTAATCAGACCACAATCTCATAATAATAACTGTATAAAGCAGCTAGTAATAGCTAATAATATATAAGACGACATATATTATTGTACGTTGCTGTTACGATTTTCCAGGGAAAGCAAGCAAGGGTCTTTGACCTTAAAGCCTTGTCTGATTTTTATTTTCTTCACAAACTCTTTAAACTATGCTGATGTGCCATTTGGCCGTGGAAGGAAAAGGGGAGTTTCTGGTCGGGAAAGGTGATCAGCCTGGGGAGAGAACAATGCTCCGTGTGGTAGTCCAGAGTTATTCTATATATAACGCAGTACTTCAGAACTTTGGTAGTGCGATTTTGGCTTCGGTGCGTGGCACTGCTCAGAGCGGAGGTTGATAGTGCAGTCTGATTGCCAGTGAATTATTAATGCCGGTTGGGAATGCATTATGTGTGCGCAAGGGCAAGTGAGGCCGGTGCGAACGATATGCCGGAGTAAAATGCAATTTATAAATATAGCCGCGGCTCTATCACGTATAAATTGCATTTTACACTACTGCAGCTATATTATGGTACAAATGGGTCGGCTCGGTCGGGGTAAGACCACGCTCACAGCGTAAAAGCATCTTAATGCTGCTGTGTTTTGTATGGTGAGTGCTGTGCAGAACCGAAGGCTGTTTTACTGGAAACGAGGCATTTCAGCTAAGTCCTCAGGGGTGACAACAACTCAGGAGTGAATTGAGGATAAATATAAATGTCTATGTGCCACAGCATTCACTTACCATCAGGTTGACTGTGTGCTCGTTTGTCATACTTTATCTATAAAAAAATACCGTACTACGCACTTGCAAGATGGGCCAGAGCAAGTGTTAGAAGTCTGCCTTATAAATCTGCGGTGAGTCAAGATGAAGGCAAATTGGACTGGCTTACAGGAGCTGAAGACTGCAGATGACGATTCTCTGGAGTGAATGGCAGGGGTAGGGGTTCTTGAGGATATTGACGAATTCTTGAAGTTCTAGTTTCCGACGGTTGTTGGTTGCGTGTTCACATCACGTCAGTTGGTTACCAATTTAGCCGTCGAAGGAAAAGTGGAGATTTCCCGCCAGACAAGGTGAAGGGGCCGAGGAGCACTGCTCTATGTGGAGTACAGAGCTATTCTATACAGGTTGTCCCAGAAGTCGACGTCAAGCCGGAAACATTATAGTAAATAGTACTTATAGTAGGGGAGCCCCCTTTAATTATTAATTTATTTTTCTTTTTATTATTTTTTGATATAGCGGCGACTGAAATACACATTCTGTGAAAATTTTAATTGTCTACCTATTGCGGATCATGAGATACAGCCCGCTGACAGATAGACGGACGGACGGACGGATAGCGGAGGCATACTAATATCCCGTTAATATAATCCCGTTGGTTACGCTTTGGGTACGGAACCCTAAAAACTAACGAAGCGAATTTTACTACACTCGCTAGATTTGGATTTCGGCGGTTTCTTGGATGAATAAATTGGGCAATGAAACATAAAACTTCAAGATATAATGAGTTTAACTATTATTTATTCTGTGCTATGAGGTGGATTATCCATTCGATTTAATTCATCGATTAACGACGAAAAATTCTAGTATTATTTATTTTGTTTAAAAAAGCTTAAATAGATTTTTCTGCTATTAACTGCTAATAATAAAAACATATTCATTCTTTTTAATTGTATTAAATTAAGCAAAGTAATTCACCTTTAAGGTTTATTTTTCTCATAAAAAGCCATCTGGTCATTGAACGAAGAGTATAGTAATTGTATACAGGAGAAAATCGAATAAAAATCATTCATAGACAAGTGCTATTTATGTCCGCCATTCATTCTTTTGAGTTACTTTTTCGTTTTACGATTTCGTAGAGAGCACGATTTGTCATCGAGATCTACGCAACACAATCGTTAAGGATTAATTACGTAGAAACAGATAAAAGCTTTAAGCCTGTGTGTCTAAGTATCATCAACAGCATCACTACAGCTTAGTGAAATTGTTACCGTGTGAGACAAGATCATATCTTTCTTCCAGTGATGCTTTTCCTTGCCATATACGTTATCGGCTGCGACGTTACCACGAGTGCCTGATGGTGTGGGAATTATGTGCGATTAAAGGAATAATACAGACGGACTCAGAATGGGAGCCTTTTTGAACAAACCCGAGACTAAGAAATATAATGAAAGCGGAGAAGGTAACGGTCTACGCTATGGCGTGGCGTCGATGCAGGGTTGGCGTGTGGAAATGGAAGATGCTCATCATGCGCAGCTTACTTTGAACGGTACGCTGTCTGACTGGTCTTACTTCGCGGTATTTGATGGACATGCAGGTGCGCGTGTTTCAGCTCATTGTGCAGAAAACCTGCTGGAATGTATCTTACAAACGGATGAGTTTCGGCGGGAGGAAATAGCCGAGGCGATACGCGCTGGCTTTTTAGACCTCGATAAAAAGATGAGGGAGCTGCCTGAACTATCCAACGGCGAAGAAAAGTCTGGTTCAACTGCGGTGTGCGCTTTCGTATCACCCAAACAGATATACATAGCTAATTGTGGTGATTCCCGTGCTGTACTTGCAAGAAATGGCGCGCCGATATTTGCAACACGTGATCATAAGCCAGAGCTTCCTTCAGAGAAGTCACGTATAGTACAAGCTGGAGGCTCGGTCATGATTCAACGCGTGAATGGAAGCTTGGCTGTATCACGGGCACTCGGCGACTATGAGTACAAGAAGGTGCTAGACCGTGGTCCATGTGAACAGCTAGTATCACCTGAACCTGAAGTGTCTGTCCTTGAGCGGTCAGAATCCGAGGATGAGTTCCTGGTGCTGGCATGTGATGGAGTTTGGGATGTGATGAGCAATGAAGCATTGTGTGCATATGTCCACTCTTTACTCCAGCTTACAGATGACCTTGTGGCCATAACAAACCAGGTCATTGATACCTGCCTTTATAAGGTAATTACCACACATTATTTTGATTGTTTTTTTAAAAACACCTACCAGTACTTATAAAAAAACATAATACTTAATAAGAAAAATAATTAGCAAAAGGTAAAAAAAAAATAACAATTTTTTGTCCTTGTGTAACCTATGATTATTTTTTATTCATGCTTAAGTTTCTAATAAATGTTCCTGAATTAATAATAGAATTATATGAGCTGCAGTGTTTGCGTTCTATATTTAATGAAGACAGCTGGGTAATCATACTTTTTATTTTGAGCTGCTATCCGAAAGACACTGCCGCCCTGTGAGTTTATACCTTTGAAATCTCCTATGTGACACACTATTGTGTAGTGTTGGCATAAAAATACCCACTATGCCACACAGCATATATAAGTTTATTTCTAAAATATGTATTTCAATTACCTAAAGGTGTCCTGTTTTCCTGTATGCTGTGTGTGCTGTTGCTTTTTTTTAAATTTATCTTCAACTAGATTATAACATACAAACAAAATATCACAATTTTGTCAATTTGTTATGTTTAAAGTAAACAAAGTTTTCATAATGCAACAAACAAGCTTAATTAAATATAAAAGATTTGAATATAGAACATTCAACTTTAATTATAAGTAATCAACATTTTTGTAAAGAGTGAATGTGCAATGTTTTTTCACAAACTCTATTAAGCTAATGTAATGAGATTAAAAGAACAATTGAATGCATAAATATTTAAAAAGTTAGTGTGGCAGTTTTAGACCTAAAACAACAGAGACAAATTGATTAGAATAAGTGGTGGTAACTGGTGGACATACTAAATTTGAAAGTATTTGCAGTTTAAATAGTAATAAAAAAAGTAATTGTGAGCCCTTACACAGGTATTCCTTTACCTTTGTACTTTTGTACGTAGTAGTCATGCTACAGCTATATTAGTAGTATAGTTGTTGCTCGAATGGGTCAACTCGACCTGGGAAGGACCACTCTCTCACAAAATACCAGATTAAAATAACAGCTTAATGCTGATGTGTTTTGTATGGTGAGTGTAGAGAACCGGAGACTTACTGTGAATGAGGCATTCCATCATAGTATTCAGGTGTGAAAATGTGTCTGCATTTTGATTCTTAATTGAGGATAAATGTAGATATCCATGGGCCACAGCATCCACTTACCATCATTTGGACTGTGTGCTCATTGGTCATCCTCATTCTATATAAAAAATTAAAACATAAAAACAAAAAACACTACAATGACAAGTGCAAGAACTGTGTATTTAATTGGCAGCTTTCTCATAATATTATTAAGACGCATCAGGTCACATTATTTTGATTGTTTTTGATTGTTTCATCATTATTTTCATTGCCAGTTTAGTCAGATTTAATCATAGTTGTTAATCTACCAGGTAATAATCGTGACCATTGCCACCTTTGAATTCATATAGGAATAAATATTAATTAATAACTCTTTATTTTAAATGTTTTCTTGAAATCACAATAAGACCTGGAATTTTAACAACAATCACAATAGTTCAATTTTGTCACAACACTACTACTATTTTTACCCACAGCAGTGTGTATATTTGCATGAACCATTTCAAGCTACTTTAAAAACCCAACTTAAAAACTATTAGATTTGTAATTTTGCATCCTTAATAAGGACCCCTTAAATGTCTAGAATCCCAAAATATATTATTTATTACAGTTTTTAAGGTTTGAAAAGAGCAGGCGTGTCACTTTGTAAAAATCTGAGGTATGGAAAATGGTGGCGCGATTTTCAAATTTGTTCGCATTACTCGTGGGGTATTAAGGTTTAAGAGTTTGCAGTGTATATACTCAACTTATTTATTGAACTATAAGATGTGGGGTATTGAGGTTTAAGGGCTTGCGATTTATTTATATGGGGTTTGTAGTAATATGCGATTTATTTCCTAATTTCAGCTATGGAATTCCATACCTTGAAAAACTTGAGGTATGGAGTGCTCCATACCTTCCATAGTGGAAGTGACACCCCTGGAAAAGAGCCATTTTTGCACTCAAAAATTAGGGTAATTGTTAAGCGAATGGGAAAAAATTTGAAAACTGCAAATAATCAATATTCAATCTAGACAGGTGTTGGCTGAGTTATAAAGTGCAGTTAATTTTAAGTATTGAAATTAACTACTTGAAATTAATTCCACCAGAAATTTTCTAAACAGTCATCATTACAGCCTTTCATAAGTCCACTGCTGAACATAGGCCTCCCCCAAGGAATGCCACAAAGCACGGTCCTGAGCCATCTGTATCCATCGACTTCCTGCATGTCTTACCAGGTCGTCACTCCATCTCGTGGGGGGTTGCCCTACACTTCGCCTACCGGTACAAGGCTGCCACTCAAGAACCTTTCTTCTCCATCGAGACGATTCGTAATGACTCAAAAACAGCACGTAGACACGGCTCAGAAGGGAAATTGGTCTGTAGTTCTTCAAGAGAGCGTTGTCACCTTTCTTGAAGAACAAGACCACCGCACTTGCTCCACGCCTCTGGTGTAATGCCACCATGGAGGACGGAATTAAAGAGCTTCTGAAGGACTTGAAGCACTGGTTTTCCACCCGCTTTCACAAGCTCCGCTGTAATTCCATCCTCGCCTGGGGCCTTGCCGTTTTTAAGATGCTGGAGAGCCATCAGTGGTATAGCCCCGCCGTTACCATGGTCGCCACCGTAGCCAGGAATAGCGGGGCCGCCGGGGACTGGGGGCCGTCTCTTTGTTACTCTCTTTATAGGGGGGTATTTGCCATAGTTGCCACGCTTGGCGAGCGGGTTGGCAACCGCAGTTTTTATTGTAATTTCGGCTACTATCAGGAAGATGCTGCTGCCCATCTCCTGCCTGTTTCCCTTTGTCGCCTTTTACGACACCCACGTGAAGATATGGGGTAGTGGATATTCTTGACCGCCACTACACGGCTGAACAGTGAAACATAGAAAATAGTGAAGCATAAACTCAAGAACACTTTGAACGTCATGTTTTTATTTACATTAAAACACAGGGTAATTTTTTTACCAAATTGAATGATATCCCACCAAAAAGTTCATATGTTTCTATAGATTTAAAAAACTGTTATGGAGCTTGAAGCCTGTTCAGATGTCAACTTGATCTATTGGCATAGTGGACAATACATAACATTCTTATTATTAAACTAGGCCCTCTACACATTTATATTTTTTGTGGGATTATTTTTACTAACTGTAAAGATTAGGTACTTTGGTATTAAAGTTTTTATAATATTTACAGGGCAGTAAGGACAACATGAGCATTGTTTTGGTGGTGTTCCCAGCCGCACCAAAGCCGAGCGCCGAAGCCCAACGTGCTGATCGGGAACTCGACGAGACGTTGCGACAGAGGCTCACAGGTTGCTATTACTCACTACTGCATGCCTGCTCACATAAGCACAGACATATGGAAAGACAGGATGAGGGTTGCGTAGATCACGATCAGGTGGCACCTAATGATGCAAGGGGATAATTTATTTGTCAGTGGAATTTGTGCCATATTTATAATTTGATATTCCAATTTTGGCATGCATATAAATTGGAATCTATTTATTTAAAATGTGATTAGATCACTACATACAGAATTTACAATTTACCATTTTAAAAACTGTTGCATATTTAAAAACTTTTACTGCTCGTATTTCTTCCCTATTGAGATTAATATAACTATAAGTACAAACTTGTGATATTATACTTGTATATTCTATATCTACTAAGCAATAATTTATTGTAGTCTTTTTAAAATTTATAATTCTTAATTGTTTTGAGAATATTACTGATGTACACTTGTGTACACAAATCAGTTATGACTTACACACTTTTCTATTATACACCACCAAATTACATGATTAATTAATCGAATTTAATATTTAATAAAGTGTTAGATAATTTTATTAATAGTAATTTAAAGCTTTGATTGTTACAAGCATTCAAAAGCCAAACAGATAGTCAAAATTTATAAATATTTTAATATTTTATTTTATTTTAGAACGTAAAATATATTTATAATGGAAAACGTAAAAACAAAATTAGACATTTAATTAAAAGTATAAGTCGACTTCAAAGATATAAATAAAATGAAAATATTCTGCATAATAAATAACTTTAGAAGTCTGTGCATAGTGTATATGTTAGTCAAGACTTATCTGGCTAAAACCACGACTGCAAAAATCAGGCAAAAGTAATTTTGACTAAGGATGTTGGTCAAAACTACTTTTGACTAGTGTATATATTTTTTATATACTCTGGTACTTACTCGTATGATTGGGCTTTTAGTGTCTAATAAAACATTACATCAATCTTGCAATATCAGTGACAGTAGGTTAAAGTGTGGCTGGGGTGGCCCTTGGGCCACCCTAAAGACGCATACATTATAATGATATAATCGTTAACCATAAATAAATTAAAATATAATATTGAACTAGAACGTTGGTCAAACCACTTATAAAAAAATCAGTCAATACTGTTTTTACTAAGGGCATCTGTCAAAACCATTTTTGCCCGATTTTCGCAGTTAAAAGTGATATTGACTGGTTATGAGTATTGACTGTAACAAATACAAGTATTAAAACCCCAAGTTCAGAAGCTGCTATGAGGTAATTATGTTATTCTTTTTGTTCTTTATCACCGGCTTTTACTTTTTCTTAAAATTCTAATTATTTAGACCCTTTTGAATGGATAAGGAACATCTCGAATATTGTCTAAATAGTTACGTTATAAAACCCTATATTTTTCCATCGTTAGGTGTAGAATTTATTCTTCAAATTTATATGGAACAACCCCTGAAATAAAATCTCTTAGGGGTTCTACGGTTTCTACGGCGCCACGATAATAAGCCAAATATATAAGATAAACAAAAGCTGTGGAGGTGAGCATGACTGCTTGCGATTTGCTACTACAACTAAAAACTAAACTAAGCGAGATATCAAAAAAATTTATTCCTATTTTTCGGCGTATCTCATCGAGATCTATGCGTATCCGCCTTCAAATCTACGAGTAAGAATCTTCCTCGTGCCAACCCCTTTAATAAAAAAATAAAAAATCATTCAAATCGGTTCACAATTGACAAAGATCGATTGAGTAACATACATACAAAAAAACACACACTCGAATTGAGATCCTCATCTTTTTTTGAAGTATACTAAATATTGTGTACCAGTTTATCTAAAAAATAAAACTTTATTATGTTCATTGCAAGGCATCAAATCTTGTGAAGGGATAATAAATTATCAGTGCAAATTATGCAATATACATAATTAGGCGTTCTTATTTTTACATACATAGAAATTGATATCTATTTTATCAAAATGTGTTAAGCTTTTGACTGCAAAATCTATTCACATTTAGAGCATTTTATAATTCAAAATTTTTAATCATAAAAATCTTTTTAACGTTTGCTTTTATAAACCCTTGACTATTTCTTAATTAAGATGATATACAAACTCATACACATACAATTTCTTCAATACAAATTATTAAGGATAACTCAAAACTACTGGTCAGACCTTGATAAAATTTATAAGGGACTACATGAGAAGCACCAGCTTTCATATAAAAAAAGAATCATCAAAATCGGTTCACCGAGAAAAGAATTATGAGGTAACACACATTAAAAAAAATTGTACAGTCGAATTGAGTACCTCTCCTTTTTGAAGTCAGTTGAAATATGACAGAGAGCAATTTTAAAGCAACATATTATGTAAAAAAATAAACACTTACTTGTAATGTGTTTATTTTAATAAATTGCTATAAATATAACATCTGATGTCCAGCAGTGTCGTATTGCCATCAGACTGAGAGTGAGGGAATAGAGAGTGCACATGTGCTTGTGCATACACTCATGCACTGTAATCCTATCTTGTGCAGATCACTAGTCTCTATTGAAACTCTAGAAAGAATAAGATATTGAGATTATTTTTATTATAAATATATATGAACATTAACTAGAAATTTCTTGTTATGTCATATGGGATATAACATACTGGCAAATTTACGAATTCGAATTACCTAAAATGCGCAATGAATAGAATTAATCAGCGGTGTTCACATTACTAAATTAGCTCATTTTTCTCTAGGGTTATTTAGAATGGCTAATATTTTAAGATGTTCTTTTTCAAATACTTCTTCAATAATACTCTTAAATATAATCTTAAACCCTATATTTGGGATAAAAATCACCAATAAATATTTCTTAATTGTTTACCTTTAATTGTGTAATGGCGGTGTAAGAATATATACATTACCATGCTGTGAGTTTTGTAGGAGACAACAGAAGGAAATTTGAACCAGTAGATAGGCAGCAACATATTTATGATAACAGCTAAATAAAGATAAAAAAAAACTCCCCCTATGAGGCAATCAATGGGATTTTCTACCGACTTCAAAAAAGAGCCGGTACTCAATTCGACTGTATGTTTTTTTTTTGTGTGTTACCTCATAACTTTTACTTTTAACTCATAACTTTACTGGGTGAACCAATTTCGAAGATTCTTTTTTGTTTGAAAGTTGGTGCTTCACATGTGGTCCCATATATATTTGATCAAAGTCTGACCAATAGTTTAGGAGTTATTCTTAATAATTTATATTGAAGTAGGTTGTACAACATTTTTAATTTTAAATTATGATAATCGTAAAGTGCAGAAAGGGGATATCTGGGCGGCGCGACAGTTATAGGTTGTTAAAACCTATATTTCAAGTTACTCGTAACTCGGATATCCTATTCAAAACTATAAATTCACATATTTGAGTAAATTTCTATACATTAAAAATTGAATTTTTACTGCAAATTCTCAAGACTTCTTCAGTACTGTTTTGAGAATTTCCACATGTCACATTATCAAAAGTCAAAGTAAAAAAGGGGGTACTTGTCATAGTTACCACGCTTGGTAGGTGGGTAGACGACCGCCATGTTTTTTTTAGTTGTTGCTAGGAAGACGCTGGTGCCCATCGCCTGGTTTGTTTACCTCTGTCGCCTCTTACGACACCCATGCTAGTATGGCGTAGTGGATATTCTTACACCGGTCATTACATGGTCACTGAGTTGGATATAGATCAGGATTATTATTTAATCTCTTTCGCCGCCAATCATATATTCAACTAGCGGACCCGGAAGACGCTATTCTGCACTGAAAAAAAAAAACTAGAACCCGATTGCAGTGCCATCTATTGGATCTAATTGTGAATATAAACCATCAAAGGAGCCACTCTTACACAAAAAATTTCATCAATATCGGTCCGTTTTTCTACCGATTTCAAAAAGGAGACGGTACTCAATTCGACTGTATGTTTTTTTATGTGTGTTACCTCATACCTTTTTTCTGGGTGAACCGATTTCGATGATTTTTTTTTATTTGAAAGCTGGTGCTTTACATGTGGTTCCATATAAATTTGATCCAGGTCCGACCACTAGTTTTTGAGTTATTCTTAATAATTTATATTGAAGTCGGTCGTACAAATTTTTTAATTTTAAATTATACAACAAGTACTTAAGTAGTTCAGTGGACAAACACACGTACTTAAGAATAATTTATATAATAAAGAAAAAATAACAAATTTAATAATTTATGGAATATGTGTGTAGCGGCTCCAGAGAATCCACCGCTATTCGCCTTATGGCATAATATGACGTCTTGCATATGGTCAGGGTAACCTGACCTCAAGATAACTTAAGAATAAGAGTTCAAGATACTATAAGTTCGTACTGCATAGACAAGACCTTTAATGTTTAAAAGTTAATAAGAAACATCGTGGTAGAACCACTCTGCAGCTATATTATAGTTGAAGCACGAATGGGTCGGCTCGACCGGGGTAGGGCCACGCTCTCACAGAACGAATCGCGTGAAATAGCAGCTCGAGTGTAGAGAACCGAAGATCCTTTTTACTTGAAACGGTAGATGTCTATGGAACACAGCATCCACTTACCATCAGGTGGCCCGTGTGCTCATTTGTCACCCTTATTCTATAAAAAAATCTTAACAAACATTTAGTACATTAAACGCGAAAAAAACCCGTAAAAATAGTATCATTCAATATTATCATATGTCAATCATAAAATATTGCGATAAACAAAATTTAGTCAAGATTTTAAATCTTAGAAATACTAATCCATTGAGGCTAATCTGATGTAAACATCTATTTCGTCAGTTGCCTTTAATTTAAACGCCGCCGAGTACCGGAACAAACTTGTGTCTGAAGTCGAGTCTTTGCTTAACAAAGTCTCGGATTGGGGGCGACCAAATTTAGTCCAGTTTAATCCTCAGAAGACACAAGTTTGCGCGTTTACCGCTAAAAAGAACCCCTTTGTCGTATCTCCTCAGTTTCAAGGCACTCCCCTTCTTGCTTCAGCCAGTATCGGTATCCT